CGTGTGGTCCGATAGCTTGGAGAAGCCGATGGGCTCTGTGAAAGCAGTCTCTGTGCTGACAGTTCTGCTTGACCGAGTTCGTGGAGTGACCTATTGGCCCCTTTTGGGTGGAGCGGGTGGAGGTTTCATCTTGGGGAAGCCCCCCGGTTCTTAGAGCCTACTTCAGAACCATTCGGTTATTCTCCACTCAGGGATTGCTCCAGAAGTGCCCAAGGTAGCCAAATTCACCCTGTGCTACATCGTGAGGAGAACTGCATACTTTTCTCTTTTTTCCTTGTAGCGCCCTGAAAACCCTGGCGAGATCACGATCCAGGTTTCTGGAGCTTGCTCGAAACATCCATTGGCTTGTCCCGACTGGTATACGGCCGCGGCTGAGTTTGACCCGAGAAGTCAAAGTGCGACAGCCGGTTTAGAGGGCGGCTGGCCCCACGGAAGGGCAGACTGCGAGGTGCTCAGGCGTGGCGAGGATCGTTTGGCATTTGGTACTCCCACACCTTGCCAAGATCCTTGGCGCTTGGCTTTGAGTCCTTTGGGTGGCATGGGACGTTCGCATGCCGAGCCGGGATTTTGCGGCAGGGCGCCTACGATCCCTGGCGATACATCTGGTACTCCGTTGCCGGCTAGCCCAGTCGGTTTGTGGGAAAGTTCCCCTGAAGGGTTGCCTCAGCTCGGGGAAGGAGTCGGCTGGTAAGCAACGAAAGCATATCGCCTGAGGCAGCTTTTTGGGTAAGCCCCCTTTAGTACCAGGTTGCTTTAACTTTTGACTCATTTAACCCCATAGCATGGTCGTTCTGGTGCCATGGGAGTGTGCTTGGGTGTGGGCTTCGCTACATTTCCCCAGGTCCTCTTTGGGCCCTCTTGGGCCTCGAATGTGGCATTTGGTTTATCATGGGGAAAGCCCCTGGTTCTCGCAATCCGACAGAGTAGTGTCCGGGAATTTATCCGTAACACTCCCCCGCAAGAGCCCTAAAATCGCAGGCTTTCTTTCACTTGGCGTGGGGTCTTTTTGGATTCAGATGTTGCAGTCCGAAATGACCCAAAGCTGGCTGGGAGTTTTGGTCGCTCAGCAAGCGCACCTATCGCCTTGAGGTCGCAATCCGCGAGAGCAACATTCGGGGAGGGGTGGTGCCTGACGGTCTCCAGCAGGGGACCAATGGGCGGAAGGGGACCGTGTTTTTGCCAACCCAAAAGATAAATCAGTTCGTTTTTGGTAAGAATTAATGTATCGCAATTGGTTTAGAACATACTGGTAACAATAATGAAAGCATCCAATATTGAAAATGAATGTGTTTTGTATATCTGGTTCAAACCAGCTTGGGATCTGTAGCCAAGAGTTACGCCGAGCACTTTTCAGCCTGAAAAGGGAGCGCCGGAAGCTTTGCTTACGGTCCCAAGGTTTGGGGAGGGGTCAAGAGAACAAGATTTCCCTAACATGTCCGAAGGACATGGGGTACTCCCCTTATTGGTTCCATTAAAGTGGTTGCATTTTGAGGGACCCGTTTTCGAATTGGCTTTGTGTGTGTGTGTGTGTGTTTCAAATCAGCCCACCACGAAGAGGGCAATTGTGAGGATGTCACTTGAATGGAGCCAGTAACCCGCTTCTAACTTTCAGTTTGTCCCCAAGGAAGCCCATGGCCGCAGATCCTAGATCCAGAACGAGACACCCAGAAACAAGAACCTTTGCAATGGTTCCTTGCAATGGTTGGGGAGGCCACGTTATGCTGCTGCACCAACTTTTCAGGGCTGCAAAAAAGATCCAATTGGGGTTTCCCACGGGGACGATGAGTTTTGGATCGGGATGGCTTTCTGAGAGATCCAAATGCATCCCGAGAGATGCAACACCGGAGGGCTTCTGTTCGGCTATCAAGGGCGCTCCCCAGACCCTTGATCCACTTTTCATGGAAGCGGGCTCCTTCCCCAAAAGGAAAACCGTGGTTTTCTCTATCTCTCGGATCGACAGCTTCCACGATGGTTGGAAGAGTAACTACGTTTAATTTCTCTATAGCTCAAGTTTGGTTGACCGTCGGAGATGTTCACGGATTGTTTTATTTGTGGCCTCATGGAAGCCCGAACAGGATCCAAGGTGGAAAAGTCTATCGGGGGCTACAAATCTTCTCCGCGGCATCCCCGACCTTGACTTTTCGGGACATGTTCGTGTCTTGCTCAATTTGATCCCAGTTTCAAAGCGCTCCCACCAATTGGTTTTGTTTTAATTTTTTTGGAAGGGGGGGGGGTTTGTCAAAAACTGGGGAAATCTCCAAAATGGTTGGTTTCCTTTTGGTTTTCCCAAAAAAGGAATGTTTCCCTTTGACTACCAAGAGAAAATCCCCCCCCCCAAAAAAAAAAACACAAAAAAACAAAAAAGGCGCCTTGGTCGGCCGAATGGGTTTTTCGGACCGCATCTTGTTCAAGGCCTGAGCGGTACTACCTCCACGCCGTGGACGTGAACTCGGGGAATGCTTTGTTGGGGGGCCGAGTCCGGGAGTGTTCCCGATTTTTTCCAAGGGTTTTTGAGGCCTGGGTTTTGAGGTATGGAGGTTCCATGCATTTCTCCCACCTACACACACGGGGTGTCTACAGCCTTACGGGCAGAAATGTGCGTGGTATATACTGGTGTCCATGCTTCCGAAACCCATGCTTGAAAAATGCCCTGGATGTTTGTTTTTTTTGCTTCTTCTCAGGCAATCACCTTGGGGTTTGGGAATGGCCCCAATTCCCAAGAAGCCGCAAGGGACGGTGAACCATCTTTTTTTTTCTTCTCCACAGCTGGACGCTTTGGGCTCGCCCAAATCTCTTAGCTCCGTGGTTCGGAGCAGCTTTCGAGGGTTCCGCGGCGGTTGCCTGGGCTTGTTCTCGGTGAAAAACAACATTCAATTCAACGACCGGGTTGGCGCCTTGGGCCAAGTGCCTAGGAAACCAAAGGAATGGAGGGGGGGGGGTTGGGAGCTGCATATTTGGGCTTTTTAACCTTGAGCTTTAAGGTCACGCACTTGCGCCTTTTTTGGGCCAGTGGCACGACCGTTCGGACAGTTGGCTTATCCACTGGGTGAGTCGCATAGCTCGCAGTCCCAGCCAGTCCCCAGAAATGGGTAGACTCATTTGGACTCGAAAGGATTCCTGTGTCTCTTCCCCCAGTTTCGCAGTGTTTTATATCACCTTTCGGACTTTCGTTTGTCTTTCTTAACTTCTCTCCATTTTCACGTTTTTGTCAGGTTCCAGTACCAGATGGGCCTGAACGGCATCCTCTATGGCCCAGGTCTCAGATGCAAGCCGAAGCCAACTGGTTTTGTATCACGGGGTCTTCTTTCGGACGGGGAACACCCTCCAAACTGATTGGCGAGCAACCACCTCGCAGCACCTCGCAACCAGAGCTTCTGACTGAGCAGAACGATATGGAAATGATGTCCGGGTCTCGAATGGAGCTTCAGAACCACTTGACAAAACTACGATGTTGTAGGGGAAGTGACACCAAACAACATCAGGCTTTGCCTGGAAACAGAGTGGCCAGAATGGAGGCAATGGGGCCCGTGGCTTCTGAATCCTGGGGGCCAGCTGGGCAAAGCCGCCCTGGCATCCACGGATCCCTGGCAACCTTTGCAGTGAATCCAAAAGGATGGTGTCGAAACACATTTCTAGAAGTTTTCAGGACACATGGGGTCCGCGTCCGCATCGCTTCTTTCCGTTGGACACCTTCCGCCCTTCCGCGCGGGGCGTTTGGCGCTCGGGCCTAGTCCCAGCCATTGAGCGAACTGCTCGAGCCGAACATGGAAGAACCTGGGCCCCCGTTTTTGAGCTATTGGCTCGATGGAGGTTCAGCCACTTCTGCTTCGTGTTTAAATGGGATTAGATACTTGTATCATTTTTGCGGTGGCATCCCAGAAGCGGAAAGGTCATTTCCAGCCCCTCCGAAGCAACCAACACAAAAATCACGTTCTTGAACCTTTGGTTCTTTTGCCCGAGAAATACCTAAGAAAAAGCAAATCCTTTGGGAACAAGGAACCGTTGGGAACTTCCTTTCACTGGGCCCGTGTCAAACTTTTCGCCGGGAGTCGGGCAACACTTTCCCACGGCGAAAGCTTCGATCGAAGTCTGGCCGGAAAGGGCCGGAAAAAACGACGTGTGGGTCAAGTGAGCCCTCGATTTTTCCAAAGTGTGTTTTGTTCACGTGTTGTGCAGTCTCCAAGCATTCGGCCATATGGCCGTTTGGCTCAAGTTTACTCCTTCCCGTCAGGAAGGACTAGGTACCACGTGCAGGCGCCATAGTCTGGCGAGCTCCGCATCTTCGAGGTGAAAACCTGGGAGCTGCTGCGGGTCGGGGCTAGGAGGTACCTGGTGGTGCGCGAGGGTCTTCCTGGGCACAGGTGTGATCTATTCCTGTTGCAACATGTTTTCCTTTTAACCCTCAAACTTACTTTCTTACACCTGTCACGTCCTTCAACCTGGTCATCAATCACAGCTCCCCCGAGTTGTGTCACCGGGTTCTTTGCCCTCATCGTATACCACCTCGAGGTCATTTGATTCTTTGGGCTATCTCATCTTCGCCCAAAACCGCATGTTATCAGCCGTGACAGCTAGAAGCTGTGGCTGGTGACCCGGTTGCGGGTCATGACCTGCTACCTGCTCCTCATCGCCTTTGTGTTGGAGCAATGGCTTCACTCGGAGCCTCGCACCGCGGGCTCGGCTTCGTGGGCAACGAGGCCAACGCCCTGCGCGGAAATGCCGCGCCCCCGGCCAAACAAGCGGTTATGGCCGCTACCTCCGGTGACAATCCCGGGGTGGTCACCGACGACTGGATCCCGTTTTTTGATATAGACCCCCTCAAGAAGAAGGTTGTTGATCTCACCTACCCTTCCCTTCACGGCCTTTCAGGTTGCTCGTGGCAGTACCTCCAAAAACTGCTCATTCGTGGTCCCTTACATGGGATCAGTTTGATCAGTTTTTTTGGAGTTGGAGCTCAGGCCACACCAGCCGATTTTGATCGAATCGTCAACGAGTCGGGTGTGCCCTTTACGGTTGGGAACTTGGACATTCAATCCCTGTTAGATGCTGACTGGGGATCCCAACCATGCATGAACCCATTGAGGACTACCCTGATGAGCTTGAGGATGACCCTATTGAGGATTTTTCCCCTCATGTTGAAGGTCCGGGCCAACAAGAATCGGGCAATCGGGCAATTGAGGATTGGCCGCAAACAGCGTGCCGTCCTTCCCCCGCCCCCCCCTTTTCAAGGCCCAACTCAAGGAGGCGATGGACTTGTAGGGCATTGCGAGGGGTTATCGTCTAGCGGTTAAATGACCTTGATAGCCTGATCTGATCTACAGAGCGTCCACTGTCGCCTACGACACATGCTTGGCGGACCGTCCACAGCATTCGGCGGTGCGTGCCCTGACGTAAAGGACAAAGAGATGCCTGACTACGCTCCATCCGATGAGGGTGAGCTTGAGTCGGACCACCCGTTGATGAGCCCGAGGACCTTGATGAGCCTGAAGCTGCTGTTGCGGAGGACACAGTTCCGCCCCCCTCCACCACCCCCTCCGGCACCTCCCTCGGTCCTGCCGGCCGAGATGGCGGGCCCGGGGCCGCTTTCACGCCGCCACGGCTGAGGTTGACCCGTTCGCCGAGGAGCTGGCCGGGGTGGATACCCGCGTTCCCCGATACGGAGTCCAAAGAGGAGGCCGCCGGCCCAAGGCGAGGAAAACGTCCCGAGGCCGTGGCCTGCGCCCGGCTCTCTGCTACCGGCTGGGGTAAGGGAAGGTAGCAAGGAAAGACCCAAGTGCTTCTTCACGCAGAAGGATCCCTTTACAGGTGACGAGGCAAAACCGAGAGCCAGTTCTAGGCCAGTTCGAGGCTCCTGCCACCCTCCCCGCTCGGCGTCGGGGTGCTGAAGATGAGGTTCCACCGGGCGTGCCCCGCACCTTGCACGCAGCACAAAAAACCCGGCCTAAATGTGCCGAGGATCGTTCCCGTACAGCTCACGAAGGCAGAGGCCGCGGAAAGCGCCGGCCCGGCAAGGACGCTCGGGATGATGCTGGCCCTCCACGTGACGCGCCGGCGCGTGACCACGCAGGGGCGAGCCGACAGCAGTCGGATCCCCCTCCTTCCCGCCGTCCTGGCGGTGGTGACCGTCGCAGAGATGACGACGCGCAGAGACCGGCGGCATGCCGGATCCGGACGATGAGCGATTGGCAGCCCTGTCATCCGCCCCAGAAAGGCCGGAGTGACGATGGCTTCGCCCTCTCGCGCGGTGCTGGGTAATGTTCTCCATTGCCCTGTGCCGTGCCGCTGCTGTGCGCGCTGGAGATGTCTGAGTGAGACCATGACCGCGCTAGAAGTGCTGGGCGGGTCGTAGCCGGGTTTTCGCACCAATATCTTTGGTTAATCATTTTCCGACCACAACTTTGTCTCTCGTACTTTCATCCAGCCATGCTGTGGTGTTTCCAAGGTGGGGTGATCCGCACAGGACCCTGCGAATGCCACAGTTCTACTACAATGCTTGAACGGCACGAGAGGCATCTTCGCTTGGTTCCTCCATTATGTCTTGCGCACTCATGTGGCCCATTCGTCGAATAATTCTGCCGCCCCGCTAATTCGGGGTGGTGGCGGGATGTTAATTGAAGGTGATGCCGTTTGGCTCACCTCTGAGATGGCACTGGCGTTTTGGTTGGTTCCTTTCGTTGTGAACTCAACTGTCACGCATCCTTCCTCTTATCCAGACATCGGATGAGGTGTATGTGTTTTGTTCACGTGTTGTGCAGTCTCCAAAGATTCGGCCATATGGCCGTTTGGCTCAAGTTTACTCCTTCCCGTCAGGAAGGACTAGGTACCACGTGCAGGCGCCATAGTCTGGCGACCTTCGCATCTTCGAGGTGAAAACCTGGGAGCTGCTGCGGGTCGGGGCTAGGAGGTACCTGGTGGTGCGCGAGGGTCTTCCTGGGCATAGGTGTGATCGATTTCTGTTGCAACTTGTTTTCCTTTTAACCCTCAAACAACTTACTTTCTTACACGGTCATCAATCACAGCTCCCCCGAGTTGTGTCACCGGGTTCTTTGCCCTCATCGTGTACTACCTGGAGGTCACTTGATTCCTTGGGCTATCTCATCTTCGCCCAGAACCGCACAAAGAAAAGGGCAGGCCTGGTAGAATGAAGGCTTTGGATTCGGATGGGAGAACAGCAATTTGGACGTGTACAACCAGTTTGGTCAAGCTCCCTTTTGTCGTTTTGTCCTTCTATTTTTTGAATGGGTTTACCTTTGAAGCCAAATAGAGTGCCGAATCTCTCCAAGGCCATGGATCCACGGCTTTGGGAGGTTCGTTTGGAGCCTCGGTTCCCGTGCCCCGAGGCTTGCAATACGACTTGGACGGCAGCCGCTTGGTGGCGCTCCACACAGAGAGCGACACCGGCGCGGCCCCTGGAGTCAGGCTACCGGATGGTTTCATGGCAGTTTTGATGCATGTGAGTTGATCTAGTTCCTTTTTTCCTTGGAGGTTAGTGTATTGGAGTGGTTTTGGTTGGGTCATCGTCCGGTGCTTCTTTCCAGATGAAGGGGAAACCAAGAAGACACCGTAAAGTCACTTGAAGGGGGTTGTCTATATTGTGTATTTTGTATGTGCTCACACACGCGCGACACACACCTGACAAGATCCGATTTGGTTGATTCGGTTTTCGGGGTCTTGTTCGAGGAAATTTCTAAAGTTTCGTTTTGGTTTCCAGGTTGGCGTCCCTGGTCGTTTGGTGCACTTGGTTGGTTTGGTTTCTGTGTCGGGTGGACACACTTCGTGGCCGCACCAAGGCGTATCTGCGTTATCTACACCCCTAGTCCAACGGGAAAATTCGGTTTGAAGAGGGGCCGGCTTTCCCACTGCGTGTTATCAATAATGTTGACCCAGGATTAATAACCCCGTCCCATTATTAGGCGGGTGTTCCCTCCAAAAGTGGTCTCAATCCTCTAAAAAGGGACACCCCCCTGTTAATCAACCAGGGGTTTATTAATCCGGGGTTAGCATTACCGGAGTTTCTGCCTGCGGTATCATGCTGGCCATTGCCCCAGCGTCTCAGTAAACACTTCCAAAAATTAGACCTGTTGTGGGAAATTGGAACTCCGGTGATGGTGAACCCCGGTTGGTTTGTGCCGAGTTCAAGGGACTGCCAAACTGGCCAAAGGGTTCCTTGTGGTTTCCTTTAGGAATCAAAGTTCTGAGTTCGTCCATCCAAGGCTTCGGTTTCCCCGGAACTCGAGGCTTGCACATGTTCAATCATGTTGGGAGGGGGCAGACCTGGTATTGTCGCCGTGGCGAAAAGGGACCCCTGAAAACGGACAGATCCCTTTAATGACCCTCACACCGGGTCATTGGACGTTTCTTGGGTGGGCAAAGCCCATCTCCACGTTGCGTTTTGCGCCCTGACGCCAAGGCCGCATCAACCCCACCGCAAAGTGGAGGCGGGAAAGGTGGCGACAGGCTGAAACGTTTCTGGTTCCACCGGATCGCTGCAAGTCCCGAGTGTTTGTTGCCATGAACACCCCGCTGAACCTCCACACCGGGGGGCTTTGTACAAGTCGGGTGATTGGCCGAACAGGTATCCTTCCACCCTATTGGAAGCCTCTTGTCAAAAAGATAAAATGAGGCAGCAAGTTAGGGTCTTCTTTAGAGGAAACCAGGGCAGGGAGTGTGAGGGTCAAAACTTCTAGCTCTCTCACCAGATCTGATGTTTCAACCATCTCAAGAAAAAGGCATGGGATTTTCTCTGAATCACCGCAATGGCGCCCGATTGTCCTTTGCAAGCAAGTCAACAGATCCTCAAGAAGCGCACTCAACACAATTGAATGGAGAGGCACGCAGGTTTCCTTTTCCACGGGCGTCAGACCTCGGGGGTGCCCAAAAGCATGATATGTGCATGTGTCCGAATAGCGCACCACAAAAATGGCCAGCAAAGCACGGGCACCCAACAAACACATGTGGGTAGGGCAACAAGCTTGGCCCTTTGCATGCTTCACGTCGCGGCTACTGGATCAATCGCGAATTGTAGCGTTGCGACGTCAACCAAAGTGCAGGGTTTCTCTTGGGGGGTTCCCTATTTCCCGGTTGCTGAATCATGTTAAGCGTCTTGGAGAAACAACCCAACTGACCATCGCTGGTGAGCAATCGAGACGCGGGACCCGCATGTGATTCCTCCAGGCATGCGCCTTTTATGGAGGTTGGGTGTTGGCAAGTGGGCATGGGATAAGTTGAGTGCCAGCATTTCCTATCAACAATGTACTACATGTTGACAGGGCGAGAGTTAATGTCTTTCTCTTTCATTGTTTGAAACAAAAGAGTTGCAGCAAGTAGGGATGGACAAATGGGTGTGTCCTGACATAGGGTATCCCTGAATTTGCTGGTCGTCTTCTGGCTTTTCTCTGAGGGCCATAAACAATGCGAACTTTAGCTGAAGCGCATAAATAAATTCATTGACCCTCCGTTGTCTCCGGATCTTCGCACTGCGCTGCGTGCCTTGGCTTCCCACGTTGTTGATTACGGGAACAGACAGCCTTTCGGGACGTGGGTATGTGTCAACATAGGGGCCCAAAAATGATTTCCTCCCGGTCTCTCTTTTCCCCAGCTCTTTTGGGGGTGCGGAGCCTAGAAACAGCACCCACGTATACCTTTCGGGCCTGTGTTATACGACAGGTACAAGCTGGCCCGGATCATCGTGAACACCACCTTTGTCGACCAGCCGTGGTCCCAGTATCCCCTCTGAGAGAAACCACTCGCACATTCTCAGACAAGATGGGACACACCCAAAGGAATCGGAAATGTTCCGTCTTATGTCTGTACATGCCCATATGCTTACTCACTCACTCCACTCCACTCTGCACAGTCCAGTTAGCACTCCACTCCACTCCACTCCACTCCACTCCCACTCCCACTCCCACTCCCACTCCCACTCCCACTCCCACTCCCACTCCCACTCCCACTCCCACTCCCACTCCACTCCCACTCCCACTCCCACTCCCACTCCCTCTCCCTCTCCCACTCCCACTCCCACTCCACTCCACTCTCTCCACTCCACTCTCCACTCCACTCCACTCCCACTCCCACTCCCACTCCCACTCCCACTCCCACTCCCACTCCCACTCCCACTCCCACTCCCTCTCCCTCTCCCTCTCCCTCTCCCTCTCCCTCTCCCTCTCTCCCTCTCCCTCTCCCCTCCCCTCTCCACTCTCCACTCCACTCCACTCCACTCCACTCCACTCCCACTCCCACTCCCACTCCCACTCCCACTCCCACTCCCACTCCCACTCCCACTCCCACTCCCACTCCCTCTCCCTCTCCCTCTCCCTCTCCCTCTCCCTCTCCACTCCACTCCACTCCACTCCACTCCACTTCATTTACCCCACCCCACCCCCACCCCCACCCACCCCCCCTCACTCCCACTCCAGTCCCACTCCACTCCCACTCCACTCCAACTCCACTCCCACTCCCACTCCCACTCCCACTCCCACTCCCACTCCCACTCCCACTCCCACTCCCACTCCCACTCCCACTCCCACTCCCACTCCCACTCCCACTCCCACTCCCACTCCCACTCCCACTCCCACTCCTTTCTTACTCCCACTCCCACTCGCACTCGCACTCGCACTCGCACTCGCACTCCCACTCCCACCTCCACCTCCACCTCCACCTCCCACCTCCCACCTCCCACCTCCACCTCCACCTTCACCTCCACCTCCACCTCCACCTCCACCTCCACCTCTACCTCCACTCCCACTCCACTCCACTCCACTCCACTCCACTCCACTCCACTCCACTCCACTCCCACTCCCACTCCCACTCCACTCCCACTCCCACTCCCACTCCCACTCCACTCCCACTCCACTCCCACTCCACTCCACTCCCACTCCCACTCCCACCACTCCCACTCCCACTCCACTCCCACTCCCACTCCCACTCCCACTCCCACTCCCACTCCCACTCCCACTCCACTCCCACCCACTCCCACCCACTCCCACTCCCACTCCCACTCCCACTCCCACTCCCACTCCCACTCCCACTCCCACTCCCACTCCCACTCCCACTCCCACTCCCACTCCCACTCCCACTCCCACTGCCACTCCCACTCCCACTCCCACTCCCACTCCCACTCCCACTCCCACTCCCACTCCCACTCCCACTCCCACTCCCACTCCCACTCCCACTCCACTCCCACTCCCACTCCCACTCCCACTCCCACTCCCACTCCCACTCCCACTCCACTCCACTCCACTCCACTCCACTCCACTCCACTCCACTCCACTCCGCTCCGCTCCGCTCCGCTCCGCTCCGCTCCGCTCCGCTCCGCTCCGCTCCACTCCACTCCACTCCACTCCACTCCACTCCACTCCACTCCACTCCACTCCACTCCACTCCACTCCACTCCACTCCACTCCACTCCACTCCACTCCACTCCACTCCACTCCACTCCACTCCACTCCACTCCACTCCACTCCACCACTCCACTCCACTCCACTCCACTCCACTCCACTCCACTCCACTCCACTCCACTCCACTCCACTCCACTCCACTCCACTCCACTCACTCACTCACTCACCGTTTCAATTTTTGTTTGGAACCCCAGCAAGAAGACTGAAGCAGTCTCCGAAGGCTATGGAGGCGACAGTATGGGTAGTTGGACCCTTTGAAATTGTTGGCAGTGCATCCCTTTTGATCCAAAGAGATCCTCAGACATGTGCCTTCGTTTTGATGTCCCTTGAAACACCATACCTTTGGCAGCACAGGGTGGGGCTCGGGGAAGTTTGCAAAGGCAATCCGTGTGAGCCTCGCGACTCGCAGGGTATGTTTGACTCATGGGTTCAATTTCTTCAGTCCGAAGCCTAGGGCAGGGCACATAGGTGCCCTTTTTGGTTGCTTTGGTTGAAAAATAGATGGCACTGGTTTACCTGGTGGTTTAATCATCTACCAGGGAAACCCATCTATTTCCCCTAAAAGGACACCTATGGCAGGGCCGGTTCGACTTGGCCAGGCCGAGACTCTCAATGAGCCTCGCGGAGGTGGACATCAAGTTCAACGAGCCCGGTGCCGATTTTCGCGGGTCGAATTTTGCGCGCCAAGTAAAGGGCTTGCCAGATCCAAATAAAATGTGTATAGTAACCCAAAAGCCCACGCACTTGCCAACAAACAAAAACCAAAGGGAACTAAAGGATGAGGGACCTACTTTTCAGGGCTTCTGCTGGGCTTTGTCTCCAACTCTTTTGGGTTTGAAGCATCCGCCAAAGGCAAGTCTTCTTTTGCCGCGGTGATGTTTTAAAGCGGAACCGGGTTCGTTAGCGGGATGAATTAGTGCGGGGTTTTCGAAGTGGGAACAAAAGAGGCCAAATCGCTCGCAATAGCATGCTAAGGGGCAAAGCAATTGCCAATCGCATCGTATCATAAAGGCGGGGACTTGTGAATGTGGGTTTCGGTTCCTTGTCTGGTGCACCTTCTTCTTTCGAGTTTTTCGAAATGAAAACCACAGGAAAACCTAGAAATGCTGCACATTATGAGCATTTTTTTCCGAAAGGAAAGCAACAGGAAGCAACCGGAACCTTGTCCCGCAGTGGCCATTCCGATTCATAAAACCCACAGTGGCTTTTTTTAACCAGGTGGTTCTACGACCGGGTTTCATTAAAAAATGGGAGTTGTAGTAAGACCTATACAAACTTTAGAACAATCTTGATAGAGCCAAAAGTGAAAAGTTGGCACTGCCCAGCTGGTCTCAAAATGGGTTGAACAACTCTTATTGGATGGTGTTCCGATGGGAAAGCAAGAACCAAGCGCCTGATATCTGGGGTCCTTCATTTCAGAGCGGGCCATTGATGTATTCTGAGAAGTGTCACAAGGAACCCACCGAGTGGGGAGGAAGCTCCTTCAGGCAGCTGATTCCGCCTTTTTTTTTTTGCAGCGGAACACGCGGTTTTTGAAGCTCGAAGATGGATGCTAGCCTTCGATTCTTTTTGGGAAACACCCCGAAAGGAGAAGCTGATGAAGATCCGTTCGCTCAGGTCATCCGAGTATCTGCAGTTTTCAGGTGCCTCGGGCATCCTCTCACAGTGCCTCGGCGAAGTCGGACAGGGCTCCCTAGATGTCCTGCTTTCATGGCTGGATATGTCCCAGATCTCCGTTGGCCCCGTGGGAGTTGTTTCGGTATTCAAGGGATGGCGGTTGGCCGTCAACCGCCTGGGTAAAGCGTTTGCTCGTGAGTACGCAAATGCTAGCACTGTGCTCGCCCCGAATACAGCAACACATTTGGCAGTTTCCTCCAACCATGTCTGTCCTTTTGGGTCTGCAAATGGGTATGGCTTTGTTTTGCAATGAAGCACCAAAAAAGGGTATTAGACTTCACACATAGCGACTTACTCTACAGAGTTGATGGGGTTTTGCGCGTTCCTTCCGTTCATCAGCAGACACCTTTCGTCTAAGGGTTTTAATGCCCGGTCTTTGCCAGTCCTTCTGTTCGGTTGCAATTTCCAGAGAATGCTGCCTGAACAGCACGCCTAGATTTGGTAAAGCCACGCTCGACCCGCTAGCCCAAACAACAATGCCCACATTGCTCCCGCGCCATGACCACCTGAATCCATTTTCCAGGCCAAAGAGCAAGCCTGTGAAGGGTGCTTGCAACGCCACACGGCCCTCGGCTTTCCTTAGCCTGGGGTCCTTCTGGTGATTTTTCCTGCGAAGCCGTCCTTGACTTCGGCCAGGCCAACTTACGCTGGGAAAAGATCTGGGTAGGTTCTGCCAGTTTAAAACCATGTTGGAAACCATTGGTACCTTGACAGTCATTTAGGTGCGAATTGGATTTCGCAGCCATCCAGCCTATTGGCACTGTGGATGGACGAAATCCGTTCGCACCACTTAGAAACAATGGGAAATAACAGTTTGTTGGTATTTACAGGGGAATCATCATTCCAGAAAATCTTAGGTGGTGCGAAATGGATTTCGTCCATCCACAGTAGGTTCCGCAATCTTTGGAGACCTTCGGCCCAGGCCCCCAGCCGTGCCGCGGGAGCTTGCGTCAGTTACACCCGCGCCGCCGCCTCGATGGCTGACTGACCAGGTGCCGTTTGGCTTTTCTCGGCTCTTTGGTGTGAGAGCTCGGCTTTTCCCCGGAACACCGAAGCGACTAAAGGTTGGAGCCTGAGCACTCAGGGGGCTTGGAGCAGCCCAGGTTTGCTCAACTTAACATATTTGAATGATTGAATGCGCGTGAACCGGGTGCCCTGTTTTGTCATCAATGGAGGTCCGGGGGGCCGTGAATCCGACAACTTCAAGGCTGCGTAGCATTTCACCACTATCTGATGAGAGCTGGTACCAAAGGAACCCCAGCCGTTTGAACTCCCTTTCTTTCGGGGTGGAAATCCAGCGCACGGGACCTAAAGAGGGGTCGGATCCAATTGGACCCTGTGGGGTTGTTTGCTCTCCAGCTGCAAAATGATACGGCATCACATGCTTGAGGGTGCATGTTCTGAGCTACGCGCCCAGGTCCACCAACATCTTCATCATCACGCAGTGCGAGCCCGTGCGCTCAGTCGTGCAGTTGTTTTTGTTTTGTTGGGTACCCTTTTGGGGGGCTTGTTTTTGTGCAGGAAGACGTAAATGGAAGCCATGCATTTCGCTTTATTTGCAGAGTCTTTTTCCAAGACATTGGCCCAACATCTAGGTGAAGAACGATTGGCGAAGTGAATGATGGGCGAAGTGAATGGGCAAGCAACGTTTTGAGAGTAGTTTTTGGTGTGGGGGGATGCTTTCAAAGGGACAGGAAAAGGAGCCCTGCAGTGTCAAATGGTGATACCCACCCTTCGAGACTTGTTTGGAATCTAAGGACCCCTTTCAGGATATTTCAGTGGGATTCCCTCACAAGCAGATCCCTGAATTCACAAAATAGAGTAGTTGGTGCAGATGTTTTGTGCTTGCTCTTACTTTCTCCATGCTTTGTTCCCCTTGACGGGGATTTGGGGTCGGTCGTTCCTTTCTTGGCGGTCACTCACCATCGCCGAACTTGCTGGCTTGCTGCAGTCGCCTCAGAGGCCCGCCCAGCAGAAGAAGGACATGAAGGACTTGCCTGCAGTGCTTTACGAGTCAATGCAATGGATGGACAAAGTCCACTTAGCTCCAGTTGGCACCACTTCGCTCCAGTTGGTTGGGCGGTTTATCCAAGTATGACATATGGCTCATCCATCCCAACCGGTGCATGAATTTTGTTGATCAGTACTTTGAGTTCCCAAAGGTATCAATATGTGAATATCTGGCCTCTTGACTTGCCTCCATCTTCTGTGCATGACCATGTGACCCGCATTTCGGTTTACATAGGAATTCCTTCGGCCATATTTGTGTCTTTGACACGCACACCGTGCGTGGACGGCTACTTGCAGGTGAAAAGGTTTGCGGCAGCGCGGACCAGATCAGAGAGGTTGAATCTCTGTTGCCAGTCAAACTGGTAGCGGAGCCTCGGCAGAGGCTCAGCCAAGGCGCGGTGGAGATCGCGCAGGGTGTGAACAAGACCTACGTCAAGAACGTTGAAGCACGGGGTCTTCCCAGGGACAGGCAGAACAGCGAGCCCAACTCTCAGGACTTTGGAAACACCAAGCCCTTCGGCACGGTCCTGAGCTACCTCACCTTTGGTGTCTACGGGATTGTCCCCCCGGTACTCTCGGGTGTCTTCTGTTGATAATCAGCTTTGGCATCTGTGAGGTGTGAGATCTACAAGAAGAGCAACGAGCTCTACACCGACTTCCTCTCGCCGGGCATCTGGGCGAGATGGCCCCTGTGCAGGCCAAGGATGTGTACGTGACGTGGAGCGGCGATCCGACCACCTGGGGCGATTACCTGCGGAAGGTCAGACTTCAGCATGATAAGACGCCCAGGCGGAAGCTCAAGCATTTGGGACCGGAATTGGTTTCCCGTTTGACGGACAAAGCATGGACAGCCTGCTCCGAAATTGACCACAGGCTGCAAGAAGAGCGGCACCAAGTACCTCTTGCGCTTCCTCCTTGCCAGGTTGGGACAGACGGCCATCCCCGATGCAGGTTCCCGTCTCGAAGAGCTTTTCATCAAGCTTCGTCGGCAACCTGGGACACCTATGAGTGAGTGGGCTCAACAGGTAAGGGAGGCCTACAAGAAGGTGCAACGATCACTTCTTCGTGCCCGACATGAAGGCAAAGGTGCACTACCCGCTGAACCTGCTCGAGGTGAACTTGCTGGACAACGACCAGGTGCTGATTACCCTCGAGGAGCTCCTGCGGGATCCCGGCAAGGGCGATCTGGAGAGTCAGAGGCGTCCCGGAGGTCTGATGCTCATGCGGAAGAGCCAGAAAGCAGACGAGCAGTTCAGTCAACGCCTTCCTCTCCTACTAGAGGAGAACCAAGCGGTCTGCCTTCTACACGGAGAAGATGGTGAAGATCATTTCTCGGGTGATCCTCAAAGACCATGGAAGACAAGCCCCTGGAATACGTCTGAAGAACATGGACGCCCAGGACAACAACGCGGCGAACCTCGTCGACGTCCTGGAGGACTCCGAGGAGGAGTTCATTGGTGCGGTGGACGACCAGTCCATCCCGAAGGAAGAAAAGTCAGAGATTCCGGAAGGACTCTCGGAACAACAGGGCCAAAGTGCGGGAAGTGGTGAGAAAGCTGCATGTGCGGGCCGGGCATCCCTCCAACATCGCTTTGGTGAATTCTCTGAAGGCGAGAGGAGGTAGCGCTGCGCTGATTGAGGCTGCTCGTACTCTACAGTGTGATGATTGCCTGGAAGCCCGAAGATCACATGCGGTGTCTAAGGCATCTTTCAGTCGTGCCAACACTCTGTGGCACACCTTGCAGATGGACATCGGGCAGTTCAAGTATAAGAAGAGGATCCTGCATGTCTTGTTCCTGGTGGACGAGGCTTCGACGTTTGTGGTTCCTCACCTCATCGGCGAGCTCGACGAGGATAAGTCCATGAATGCTTCGGCCGAGCAGGTGGTGGAGGCACTGCAGACATCATGGGTGCGATTCTTTGGAAATCCTAGCCTTCTAAGATGCGATCCTGAAGGAAGCCTGCGATCAAGGCTCTTGGAAGATTGGTGTGCGAGAAGGGATGTGGAGCTACAACCATGTGCTGCGGAGGCGCATCATCAGATAGGCGTGGTTGAGCGCATGAGCGGCACTATTCGGAAGAGCGTTGACCGTTTCCTACGTTCGGAGGAGGCGACGGCTTGGGAGGCGGTGCTGGCCACGTGCGCAGCTCACAACGAGCGTGCGAAGGTCGGTGGCTTCAGCCCTAACCAATGGGCGCTTGGACGTGATCCTGGACTGGATTTGAAGATGCATGAGAGCGGACGAGATGGAGCTCCCATACACGTCGGACAGCGCGACCCCAAGGAGGCGGTGTCTAAAGCAATGGCGGTGCGAACTCGAGCTGAGGAAGCGTATCGCCGGATGGTGGTGCAGGAGGCGATCAGTCGCGCTTGGAACTCGAGCCCCAAGAAAGGTGAGATCTACATGCCCGGTGATTTGGTGTATTATAAGTTGCCCATGCGGATGTCGATGTCACGCGAAGGCGGATGGCAAGATGGTTCGGTCCAACAAGGGTCCTAGCGACGGAGACGCTGTCGCTCGGGGAACGCCGAAGATTCTGTGCCGGGCCAGCTGGCAGACTCAAACGTGTCAGCCCGGAGCAACTTCGTTTGGCTTCGCCCAGAGAGCGTTTGATCGAGGAGGGCACCAACCCAGCAGATTTTCCGTGGACTATCCATGGGATGCTCAAGGGCGAGTTCGACAACTACGAAGACCTCTACCCAGATGGCGGCCGACTTCCTTTGATGCCTAGCAGAAAGCGAGGCAGAGCTCAGAGCGAGCCGCGGCCAAAGGCTGCTGCCAAATCTTGTGCAAGGGTAGAGGGAGGTGACAAGAGTGAATCAAGACCCATAAGAGGCCAAAAGACTCCAACAAGAAAGGGTGGCAAAGAAGGCCCATCAAGAGCGAAAGTAGGGACGGAAGGAGCACCGTAAGGTCCCCTGTAGGAATCACATCTAGCCCATCGGGCTTAGGAGCCCCTGGTAGTGTAGTTGATCAGTCGCTGCACGAACTGCTCAATAATCGGCAGTTTGCTGCCGCTAGGCAACGCCATGGTGGTACCGCGGAAAGGAGCCGGTCATCGGTAAAAGTGGTGATGGATGAGTCCCTCGGTGAGGCGGTAGCTCTTCTCATGGATTCCGAGAAGGGCAAGAGCAACCTCATGCGGGACCCTGTCAACAGCTATCTGATTGACGAGCTCGGCATTGGAGAAAATGAGGCGATGGCGTGTTTCAGTGTTGACGTGCCCGAGCATGGCAAGGAGTTCCGGCAATTTCAACGAGATCCGGAAGAGTGGCTGGTGAAGAAGATTAAGAAATCCCCGGAGGTCAGTCTGTCGAAGATGGCTCCTGAAAGGATTGAAGATTTCCGCAAAGCCAAAGAAGCGGAGGTCACTCAGTGGGTTCGTTCGGCAGCGCGCCGGGCGGTGGAAGGCGGCAGGCTCATCCCGAAGGACAGGGTGATGAAGATGCGGTGGGTCCTCACCGTGAAGGGCAGCGGCGCTGCAAAAGCTCGGATCGTGATCGTGGGCTTCACTGGCCCTGATCTTGCTTGCTTGCCTAAAGCTAGCCCAACCATGAGCCGGAGATCCAGACAGTTGATGGCTACCATGGCGGCGACGGCAGGGTGGTCTCAGCTGAAGTGTGATGCGAAGAGCGCTTTCCTTCAATGCAGTCGGAACACGGAGGAATCGCGAAGCATTTTTGCGGTACCTCCGGATGAGTTGGCGGATGCCATGGGAGCACCTCGTGGCCGAGCAGTGCAAATCTTGAAAGCTTGCTACGGGCTGGTCAATGCCCCGTACCAATGGTTCTGCGAAGTGCGAGATCGCATTCTTCTCATTGGAGGCGAAGCTATCCACACAGAGCCTTGCATGTGGATGGTTCGCGGCCCCGACAGCAGTGTTTGTGGAATCGTTGCCTCGCATGTGGATGACTTTTACATGGTAGGTGATGAACAGGACCCCACTTGGAACGCATTCTTGGTGAACTTCAAGCAGTCATATATGTGGAGCCCCTAAGAAGCAGATGTGTTTGAGCATTGTGGCATTATCATGCAGCAGCTCAGCACAGGTGAGATTCAGTTGGATCACAGCAAATATTGCACTGGCATGAAGCAGATCGATCTGAAGGATCGAGATGATCACGCTCCCGCCAGTCCCACAGAAACAGAGCAGATGCGCGCTATCTTAGGCGCGGTTCACTGGCGTGTGCAGCAGAGTGGACCTCAACATGCGGCGAAATGGGGCAGCTCTTGACTATGGTTAAGTCCCCGACTGTCGCTATTTTGCGTGAGGTGAACAAGTTAGTGCGCGTCTATGCGGAGAGGCACTCGCCTCCCCGGTTGCAACCGCTGAAATGTGAGCTCGAGAAAGTGGTGATGGTTTGCTGGACAGACGCGGCATTAGCAAATCGTGGTGACGGAGGCTCGACAGGCGGATATGTTGTGGCGGCGGCCCCCCCGGCTTTGCTTGAAGGTCGTAGGTCACCTGTGTGCATGTTGAGCTGAAGATCAACGAAACTGCGGCGCGTGGCTCGCAGTTCGCTAGCTGCAGAAGCTCAAGCATTCTCTGAGGGTGAACAGGAGTTGATGTGGTGTCGTTTGCAGTGGCGTGAGATGCTCGGTGAACGCATCGACTTGTAGAGCCCGGGGAACAGTTTGCAGAAAACCCCTGGAGTGATGGTGACAGATGCCAAATCTCTTTACGACGCTGTGAGCCGTGGGGATGCAGCAACGAGCGGTTTGGGTTTGTCAGACAAGTACTCAGCTCTGGAAGTGCTGTCGGTGATGGAGAGACTAGCAGAAGCAAAGACATCAGTTCGGTGGGTGCACAGTGGTGCGCAGCTGGCAGATGGGTTGACAAAACATCAGCCCTCATCGTGCCTGAAGAAGGCCATGATGGATGGCGCTTGGACGCTTGTGGCAGATGAGAACTTTCTGTCGCAGAAGAAGCGCAAGAAGATCGGGTTGGCAGATAATCCGGTCAACACAGAAGTTTCTGGCAAAAGACTATGGGGCATGTGAATATCTGGCCTCTTGACTTGCCTCCATCTTCTGTGCATGACCATGTGACCCGCCGGTGCATTTCGGTTTACATAGGAATTCCTTCGGCCATATTTGTGTCTTTGACACGTACACCGTGCGTGGACGGCTACTTGCAGGTGAAAAGGTTTGCGGCAGCGCGGACCAGATCAGAGAGGTTGAATCTCTGTTGCCAGTCAAACAATATGGCGGTGCCCCGAATGGAAGGATATCTTCTGGTTTTGCCTCTGACCTTCCAGGCCTTCCCTTTCAATCAAAAAGCCCTTGGTGCATTGGGGCTCCCGGATGTCGAGGCGTCCCCATCACGTATCACCGTTTTGCAGCTCAACAGATGGCCTCATACATTGGCATGCGCGGGAGTATTGCGCCAAGAGTGCTCACCTGGTGGTACAATCAAAACCCTTTGGTAGATGAAGGTGAGTAAGGGACAGTCCCAACTATAAATAGCTGCGACCGCCTTCTTAGTTCTTTACATGGTTCTGGGTAGACCATTTTAATACCGGGTTTTGATTAGGAGTCACCTGATGGTACCAACAACAGCTGGGCCCATGAAGGTCCGTCGAGGATTCTTAGACAGTGAGGTTGGTGCATCATGACCCGTGCCCGAATCTCTGGAACCAACCGGAATGATGGCATGGCATGCCATGCCATATATTATGCATTGTGTACAGAACATGTATACATATTTATACGTGTATATTTGTATCTATGTATATATCTACACATTTTGCACACATAGTCATGGGGTAAATGCGACAGTTCTGAAGGGAACGTGTGGAACCATCTTGCGAATCTCAACATGTGAGAGGTGGCCAAGCCTGGGTACCTTCTTGGGGAGGAGGTCCAGTGTCTGCCGATAGGAACGTCGATGCAGGACCGTATCTACTTCATTCGCATAGAGGATGGGTTCATTGTCTTTGATAGTGCTCTAGATTTCAAGGCTGGGCGGGCGGGCGCCGCGGCTTCTGGGGCGGGGCGGGAAAATGACTGGAGACGTTCTGTACTGCGCGTCGTGATGGTCGATGTGCTCTTCCCCAAGAACCAGATGCTTCAGATGGTTTCTGCATCAGCACAATGGATTTGGATTAGGATTCCGAGTGGTTTGCAGATCAATTTGCTACCTGCTCGAGGGGCCATTGGAGCCACCCATGATGCGTTTCTTTATTATCTAAGAACGGGATATCGATTTTTGTGGGGCATATCCAGGATTTAAGATGCCTGGGGGCCTCGTAGGATATACAAGGGGGGGGAATAGATCGGGTTATTTTCTTACGGTTGTTGGTGTAGCCGCGCATTTTGACCGCAAATGTTTTTGTTGTTGTTCAAGGTTCGTGCATGCTTCATGTCCATCGTCTGCTCGCACCTGAGCTGCTCTCTGAAGCTGAACGTTGACAAGGGGTGGCTGTCGTGGGGTGATGCTTAGCCTTTCCCAGACTAACATGGCAGCTTCCAGGATCCCTTTGGAAGACTTGGTTCCATTTACGGAGGCCTTCTGGGGAGCTTCCATGTTAGTCTGAGGGGGTGTACTCCATAGATCTGTGTTGCGCACTTGTTCTGGATTCTAGGCCAGATGCAGCGACCGGGTTGCGCGATTCAGCATGCTTGATATGTAACGAGTCAAGGAGCTGATCGTCGATGCTTAGCACTGATCCACCAGGAGCCACTGTTTTTATTATTTTTGGTTGTCATTAGCATAGTCCGTCCCCGGTGTGGGAAAAAGGGCCAAAGCTGGCTAATGATTGGAAACTCGATCAGCCTTCTGTGCCGCGGATCCTAGGTTGCGCAATTGTCGTTTTTGATACTTGAGGCAGTTACGGGGTGGGCGCTAACCTTCGTGTTTTTTGACCAGAGTTCCAGCTCACACTGTCAAAGGGTTGATGACCACCCCTTGCGTCCATTGTTCGTGGCTTGTGCCGCACGTGAAAAGGACATGCGCACATCTGCCCGCCAGAGGCAGTGGCCTTGCGCAAACATGGGGAACCGGAAGCACCACCCCAAAACAGAAACAAAGAACGAAACGTGGACCGCCCCTGAGCAGGGAGAGCTTCCGCTCTACGCTCTATGGGAGAGGCACCTGTAATCCAGAGAGTGTGCCTCTAATCTCACCTTGATGAAATGCAACCTGTCTTGCAGAGAGTCCCACGACAGTGGTAACCGAAGGCAGGAGCTTGTGAAACATTGAAGCCGCCTCGACTGCCACGCTGGATGAAGTCAGGCAAGGGTAACCTGCGGGGACTAACAGACAATGCAATAGCGGCAAAATAAATCCGTCTGCGCACATTCAGTGCTATACGTGACCGAGGGATGTTGCAGTGGCGAACTCGAAAGCTTGGAAGTCTTGCTGATGCCCAGAGAATCGTCCAGGCCAACATACCCTTCACCTGCTGTATCGATGAACTCTGTGTCTCTTGATCTGCAGAAGAGGCGGATCTTCAAGTCCTTTGCTAGCGTCCCATCCGGGCGCGAGCAAGTTCCAGAGCGCTTCGTAGTCCCTGAATCAGCTGGACTTGTTGAAGATCTACAGACAGCTGCTCCCAACCAAAAGCCACCAGGTTCAGAAAGGAACATGGCTTTGCGGGTCCAGGCCCCAGACTCAGTCCGGCGCGACTCAGCCTGAGCCGGCCAGCTTCATCCCTTGCCCCAAGTAGGGACCGCAGGAAATTTCCAGGCCCCTCAGCACCTCCGCCAGCTCCCAGCCCAGCCAGCTAAGCCCAGCTAAGCCCGCGCGAGTCCAAGTTCCTGCCACTTTGCGATGCAGACCACTGCTCAGCCCCGGCATTTGTTCAAGTGTTCGTTTGGCCAGGGAGGCAGCGTGCAGCGTTTACAAATACTAGGAGTGGTCATCGACAGCCACGAAAGGCGTGGCCGGATTCACTGAATAGGCAACGATACGTTTTCTGACCACGAGGGTGACCAACATGAAGTTCATATCAAATCAGGAGCAGAAAGTGCACCTCCATGTGGCAGGGTGTGCAGCTGTGTTCTTTCCATCACCAGCAAAACTACCACAGTTTGTTGGGGTGGTCAGCTTGACCAACCCAGCAACACACACTGAAGTTTTTTTTTTTTTTTTTTTTTTTTTTATTTTTTTTTTTTTTTATTTTTTATATATATATATATATATAAAGATATAGGCAGCCCTACAAACACCCTAAACCCAAGCTCAGAAGGCTGGTGTTCCCTCTCACTGGACTCACTAGACGGATTCATCCCACCGCTTGTGAATCCGAACTTAGATGGTTGTGGGTGAAAACCTAAGGTGCCTTTATGTGGATGGTTACCACTCCACTGTTGTCTTTTCAGAAGGCTTTCTGGGTGTAAACCCCGTACCTTCTGTGGGTTTTGACCCACAGCCAGATGGCATCGGGGGTTTCTGGCCTTGACGCTTGCGGATGGAACGTTCCAGAGTGTGGGGGGACACGGAAAGCAAAGCCGCCGGGCCGTGGAGGTCCTGCAGATCTTCACCAATGAGAGGTATGGGGATGTGACCGTGCTGGGGCCGGGGGTTCCGAGAGGTTCCGAGAGTCGACCGGGGGATTGGGATGAAACAGCTGGGATCACCCAACACCCCGAAAAAAGGGCCGCTTCTAGCGGGTCGTTCTACTGCCTGAATTAAATAGGGATTATAGTCAGGCCTACCAGAGCTGGGCGTGTAATATTGACCCAAGGCTGATAAACCCTTGGTGATTTGATGCGGGGGTTGGCTGCGACTCGTCCCATCTGTTGAAAGCTGTGGGTTTGTCCAGGCCTTTGGAGTGGTTCGGAGCTCCGGGCTAGGGTTCCGGAAGGGTTCGGCGGGTTGCTGTTGGGGAATACCGAGATTCCCTAGGCCGACCATCTAAGGGGCTTGGAAGCTGGAAGTCGAGGGACTTTTCCCACTTCCATGATGCTAGGAAAGCTCCCCGTTTGAGAGAAGAATGAGTCACCTGGAAGGGGTTTCGCGGCAAATCGCAACGGGCTCGCCTGGGTGAAAAAACGAAAGAGCAGGTCCCCCAAGTATAGTAAGTTGTCAGGATTGATTCAGCATGAGGAAATGGGCCCCAAAATGTCAACAAGCGGTTTCACACATTTGTTTTTTTGAACTGCACAAGTGGTAGTTTAGCTGGACACCACCAGTGAACCGCAACTTCTACGGTGAAGATCCAGAAGTGATATGTTGCCATTGGAGGAATCCCCCGGGAACATGGCAATTCACCCTCTCCTGCCATGACACCTAACACTTCCGATGTGACACCAACGAGGGTGCAAACCCTAGATCCCTTTTTCAAGAGGAGCCAAGCAGCAGTTTGTTTAAACAACGAGTTTTTTTCATCGACATCTTTGTGGGAAAAGGCTGAGATTTCGGCCCCCCCCCTCTTTCCAAGCCGTGTTTCGCTTGTTGCCGGCCACGTGGCGCGGCGCTTTTCGAGGCCCCGGATGTACCTGGGCTTCGGAAAGGGCTCCATCTCCTACATCTACCTGGCCCGGGTCTACAGGCCAGCTGGGCGGTTTTGGTTTGGTTCTTTGGAGGGCGGAGCTGCTGGGCGTTTCTTTTTTTTGGGGGGGTTCTTTGGAGGGTAAGCCTTGGCCAGTTGTCCTTTTTTCTAAATTCTTTGGAGGGCAAGCCTGGATGACCAGTTGTCAGTTTTTTTTCCATTTTTTTTTCGAGGCTCCCAAAGGGTGGTTTCGTGGAAGGACTCGACCTGCAGGACTCCGACGAGGTGCTAACAGCAACTTAGGTATCCCTTCAGGTTTGAGAATCGCAATCTTTGCAGACTATAATCTAGGGGTTGATTCCTTCTCCATTCTTTTCAACCATCGTTCTTTTCAAAAACCAGCTGTTTCCCCAGGGTTTTGGGTGGTTAGGGGCTTTTTAGAAAGAAGGATCCCTGGAAAGAATGGGGAAGGTACCCCTGGATATAAGGATTACCTTTCCAATTGTCCTAGGTTGTTTGTTTCCTTAGGGCTTCGAAACAACATCCTGACTGACCATGGCACCTTCTCTTGGTCCCGCTTTGCAAGAGACCCCTCGTGTGGACCTGTGAGACCCCGGAGAATATATTTGATTCCATGCCTTTGCGTAGCTTTTGGACCGACCAACTGTTGGCGTTGGTTTTGGTGGACCCCGCCCCGGCCCAGTTCAATCTCAGTGTCCTTTTGGTATACGGGAGATCTACGGAGCCCTCGGCCTAAGCCGGAGCCGGCTGTTTGCTTGCCAGGGACGTCATTGAGGAGAGGACCGTGATTGACTTCCAGTGCGCACAGAGAATCGCAGAAAGAGATGGGCTTGTCTCAAGATGGGAGGGTCCTCCCAACAACTGACCTTGACGCTGACATTGGAGGGTTCTGGAAGTCTGCTTCTTGGGGAAACACCCCTTCCATGATTGGAATGCGGACACCCTCCCATGGCAGACTTTTGAGGAAAGACGACTTACTTTCCTTTCAGGAAAGGGGCCTTTGCGCCAATCCATGTTTGTTTGGAGGGAGGCACCTTTAGGTCAAGCTCAGTTGCCCAAAGGCCGATTTTTTGTCTGTTTCCCCTTTTGGTCCTGTTCTAGTCATAACCTTGGGTCCGGCAAAGGCTGAATCGGGTCGAGCTCTTCTAACCTTTGTAGCGTGCTCTTTGCTTCTTTGCAGATGTGGCACCCAACCTGCTCTGGCAATGCCAATCTGACAGGTGCTCTATCCTTAGAGACTCACCCACGGCATCAAACACCAGCCAAGGCTGTTATTGGTTGCAAAACCCTCGTGTTGATACAGAAACAGTGGATCTTTGCATTGGCGCAATGTAGGACATAGACCCGCCCTTTTTGGGCTGTCCAAAGAGGGCCTGCTTTTGACGCTTTTGTGAGGAAGACAACTTGGCACTTGAAGGGCAGCGAGGCTGAAGACCGGACATTCAGTTAGTTGGACAGGATTGAGAAGTTCATGGGGCAGTGTCCCACAAATTGAGGGAATCCTTCACAAAGCAAAAAGAAGCTGACCCGATTTGTGCACCAGGTTGATTGACCCGGGGTTGAGAAGAGGCTTATTTAAGGGTTGTTGTTGCACTGTTGAGGGGCCCCCCCATCCTTGCAGCAATGCTTGTTTACAGCTTGGCCCAAGCTGTCAGGAAAGCCCGGCACAGGGTACTACCACCGGGGTTCCGGCTCTATTTCCCCACTGGTGGTAGATGTCACTTGTTGCCAGCATAAAGCTAGCTTCCTTTGGATGAGGCTGGCATACCGGGAAGCTTGTAACCTTGACTGCAAGTTGCACAGGTGCAAGACCATCTTGGCGGCAGACGATAGGTAGGTGATTTTTCTGTCAGAGTAGACTCGCCATGTCCCACAGATGTCTTTGTTTAAGGGAACCCTTTTGAAGGTGGCTTGAAAGGAAAATCAAGCAAACAATGTTCCGGGGTAAACGATGATCAAAGGACCGCACCCCGCAAGACCACACCCCGAAGAATGTTAAGACTTTTTGTGGGCTTGGGGGGCCGGCCGCGAGCTTGTTGCTCAGCCAGGTACAATCCCATCAACCCCCAGTACGTGGCTCCTGTGGAGATCACCCAGGACCTTGGGGACACGGGGCAAACCTGGGCAAAACGAGCATGCATTTGCAGGTCCCTTGGGCTTCATTTCAACCAAGTTCTTCTTTTCCCGAATGTTCCAGAGTTCGCAACCGTTCGCAACTGTTGGCAACCGTTCGCAACTGTCGCAACCGTCCGCAACCGTCCGGCGATAAGCGTGTGCCATTGGGATTCGTTGTGGAAGCGTGTTTTTGATGGATCGGCAAGTGCTGTTTTCATTAGCCTGGTGCGGGAATTGTAGCTTCGCAAGCTCGACGTGTGGTTTTGCGCGCAGGCGCACCTTTGTTTTGAAGGCTGTGTGTTCGCGTTGCCTGGCCAGTGTGATTTGCGTTTCAGGGGCGGTCGTTCTGAGGTGTCTTGATTGGCAGGTGCAAGCGTTTGCGCGAGTGTCATTTTCGTTGCGGGCTCCCTTTTTTTTCACCCCTCAAACCCTGCTTGGGAAACGTCTGCAGGAACTTGTGTGTCTGGCCCTGAGAAATCCTTTGTTTTCAGCCCCTCACCTTGTTCTTTTCGCCCTCCGCCTTGTTTTTTTCCTCACTACCGACCTTGTTTTTCTCACCCGCGAGCTTGCGCTTTTCACCCACCAACCTTGTTTTTCTCACCCTCGGCCCGGGTTAAGCCAACCTACAGCAAGCCTAAGCCGATCAAACACCCACCCTAAACCCAACTTTAAAAAAACAACCTAAGCCCACCCCGCACCCAACCCCAAGCCAAGCCACCCTAAATGAACCTTACGCCAACCCTGCAACACCCACCCTGCACCCACCTCAGACCTCCTCGAAACCGCCCTAAACCATACATGAAAAGCCCGGAGCCAATCCTAAACCGCCCCTAAACCAACACTAAAGCACACAAACTAAACCAACCCTAAGCCAACACCAAGCCAAACCTAAACCCCCCCCCCCAAACCCACCCTACACTAACTCTAAACCCACCTTAACCTTGATCCAACCGTAATCCCACCCCGCGCCTTAAGCCGAGCCTAAGCCAACAATAAACCCACACTAAACTCACCCAAGCCCGAATCCCACCCTAATCTAGCCTTAATCCAACCCTAAGCTCATCCTAAACCAACACAAAACCAACCCTGAACAGACCCACCAACCCAAAACCAACCCTCAACCCTGAACCGACCCTAAGCCAACCCTAACCAATCCTAAACCCTCAGTAGACCCACTCTAAACCCAGCATTTACCAACCCCGAACCACCCCGATAAACCAAAAACCAACCCTAAACCAACCTTGCCCCCACCCTGAACCCCGGTTTTCAACAACCTAAACCCACCCTAAACCCGCGGCGCCCACCCACCCTACACCAACCCTAACCAACCCTGAGCCACTCCAAAACCAACCACAAGCCCACCCTTCACCCTGTACCAACCATGAACCCACCCTAACCGAACTCTAAACCCAAGCCAAAGCTCTAAGCTAAGCTTGACCGAGCCCTAAATCCAGCCGAAGCCAACCCAAGCCAACCGCAAAACCAATCCACATCCAAGCCTAAACCAACCCCCAAACACCACCTAAATCATCCCGGACCAACCCTAAAAGAAACAGCACACCCTTAACAAACCCTAAGCCCGCCTGAAATCAAGCCACCCCAAATGAACACTAAGCCGCCCTTAAGCGACCCCAAGCCACCCCTAGCGCAACCCCAACACTACCCTAGACAAACCAACCGTACAGACACCTAAACCAAACATAAACTCACCGCACCCTAACCCCAGCGTGCGTCAACACTTGTCTTAATTTAATCTAACCTAACCCTACCAAACCCACTCTAAAAAATAGATTTTAAGCCAACACTACATCACCCCCTGAATCCACCCTGAAGCCATCCGACACAAGCCCTAATCTAAACCAGCGCTGTGTTAACCCAACCTTAAAACCCAACCCTGACCCTAAACCAACCCTAAACCAATCATAAACCAATTGTAAACCAATTCTAAACCCAGCCTTAGCCAACCCTAAACCCTTAGCAAAGGTAAACCAACCAAGCCAAAAACCAACCCTCATCCAACTTCAAACCACCCTACACCCAGCACAGACCTACTCTAAACCAACCTGAAGCTTAAACCAACCATAAACTTGCCGTTCCCATCCCAAACCAACCCTAAGCCCACCCTCAACAAAATCTTGCCCTGCCTCTAAACCCTTCCTACACAAACCCAAATCCCACTCTAAACTAGCCTTAAACCCGACTCTAAACCAGCGCAAATCCAACCCTAAGCAAACCCGCCGACCCAAGACCGACCCTCCACTCTGTCCCTGCGCTTAGCCAACCCTAACCCAGCTAAGCCCCGCAAACATGCATCGTTTTTTGGACCCTAAACCCTATTCCAACCCCAAATCCACCTTAAACAAACCCCAAAGCACCCCTACCCAACCCCTTGTAAACCTGGCTTCAGTCAACCCGCTGCCCCAAACCAGCCCTAAACCAATCCTAGGCCCATCGTGGACCCGTTCCAAACCCAGCCATAAAAACCAAGAGCGCATACCTACATAGACAGCTAGCTCTAAAGCATCCTGAAACCAAGCACAAACCCACCCTCAACCAACCCAAGACCCACCCTGAACCAACCCAAAAACCACCCTAGCCCACCTTAACCGCGCACCCTTTCCCAACCCGAACCCACATGAACCCACCCTTCACCAAATCCAAGTCAACCCTAAGCCCAGCCTGAACTAACCAACCTCGAGACCAACTGCAAACCCACCCTTCCCATCCGACACCAACCCCTAAACCAACCCAATCCTAATCTTAGCGCAGGCTTCGGCCGCAGGGCTGGCAAAGACGAGATGGAGGGTTAAAAGGAAAAGGTAGAGGGTCAGAAGGAAAAGGTGGAGGGTCAGAAAGAAAGGGGGGAGGGTAAAAAAAGAAGGGGGGAGAGGGTTCAAAAAGGGTTAAATAGGAAGGGTGAAGGGTTGAAAAAACAGGGAAGGTTGAAAAAAGGTTTTTCAGGGCGAAAAAAGGTGTTCTTGGCCCTGCCGTGCAATCGGCTCGTTTTGGCGAGCTTGCGATGCGCCAGAATGGGTCGAAACCACTGTCCCGTGCTACAGTGCTAGTGGTGGATGCGTACCGTAAACGTGTCAAAGTTGAATTTCGTGACAGGCGCAGCAGTTTGGAAGATTCTGAGTTTGTGGAAGCTTACTTTGCGTGACAAGCGCAGCGCTTTTGAGCTTACTTCAATTCGTGGCAGGCGCATCACTTTAGAGCTGTTTGTGCAAAATTCGTTGCAGGCGGAGTACTTTTGAGCTTGGGCGTATGTTTTGTGGCGGGCGCAACACTCTGAGTAGGTTGAATCGCTCTGGCTCTTGAGCGGTGTGCGTATTGAGAACGCAAAGTGCGCTTTGGGTGGATCGAATCGCTCTCGCTGTCGCGCTGTGCGCATTCTGTGAGCACAAAGCGAACCCTCTGCGCGCTTTGAGTGGGTCCATGGCAAGAGACTTGACAAGCTGCGTTTCTCAGAAGTGTCGCTCAGAAGTGCCGATCAGCATCGCTCGGAAGTGTCGTTCAGAAGAAGTGTCGAGCAAAATTTTTGCACAAAGGTATCGACAACCGTCTTGCTCGAAAATGCCCCTTAGAAGCTGGTGTCGTTCAGAAGTGTTGGAAGTGTTGATCAGAAGTGTTGATCAGAAGCGTCGATCAGCAATGTCGATCAGAAGTGTCGATCACAAGTGTTGCTCAGGCGTGTTGCTCAGAAGTGTCGATCAGCAGTGCAAGCAGAAGTGTCGATCGCAAGTGTTGCTCAGAAGGAAGTGTTGCTCAGAAGTGTCGGTCAGCAATGTCGATCAGAAGTGTCGATCACAAGTGTTGCTCAGGCGTGTGGCTCAGAAGTGTCGATCAGCAGTTCAAGCAAAAGTGTCGATCACAAGTGTTGCTCAGAAGTGTTGGTCGGCAGTGCAGTCAGACGTGTTGTTCAGAAGTCTCGCTGACAAGTGTCGCTCAGAGGTGTTGATCAGAAGTGTCGCTCAGAAGTGTCACTCATACCTGCTCCAAAGTGTCGCTCAGAAGTGTCGATCAGAAGCGTCGGCCAGAGCTGTCGACCACAAGTCTTGCTCAGAAGTGTTGCTCAGAAGTGTCGAGCAAAAGCCTTGCTCAGAAGTGTTGATCGGAAGTGTCGGTCAGAAGTGCTGCTCAGAATTGCCCAGAAGTGTTGATCGGAAGTGTTGATCGGAAGTGTCGGTCAGAAGTGTTGCTCAAACGCTCGAAAATGTCTCGTAGAAGCTAGTGTCGTTCAGAAGTGTGTCGATCAAAAGTGTCGATCACAAGTGTTGCTAGGACGTGTTTCTCAGAAGTGTTGATCAGCAGTGTCGGTCAGCAGTTTTGATCAGGAGTGCTGCTCAGAAGTGTCGGTCAGAAGTGTCGACCAGAAGTGTCGACCAGAAGTGTCGACCACCTGTGTCGATCAGAAGGGTTGCTCAGAAGTGTCGCTCAGAAATGTCGATCAGAAGTGTTCTCCATCGATCAGGAGTGTCGCTCAGAAGCATCGCTTACATGTGTGTGTGTGTGTGTGTATATGAAAGTGTCGCTTGAAGTGTTGCTCAGAAGTGTCGCTTATGTGTGTGTAGAGGTGTCGCTCAGTTTGCCGTAGTTTGTCGCTCAGAAGTATGGCTTCAGGATTGGCGCTTGACGCTTAGATGTGGCGCTGCCCCTACAGTGCAGGGCACCCGTGTAGGATTCCCTAGCCTGGGCTGTCGGGCTAGCTTCTTTCCTTTGAACACCTGATCGGGTGAAGGTGTGTGTGCTGTGTTTCCTGCTTCTGGGATGGTTTCTGCTTTGGTGGATTCCCGCTGTCTTCGACAGGCTGTTTTTGGAGGAGTCGGTGCGGGCTAATTTGGGCTTGAGCAACACTCGGGGGATGTCTCTCAATTACTTCGCATGTTTTTGTGCCTCTCCCTTGTGGGTGGTGGCCAATGGTCACATTGTTGTGCAGTTACCACGGGGACGTTGCAAAACTTCCCCTTGTTGGGCTGCGCGTCGTTTTTGCTGTGGGCCATTCTGGCCGTTCGACTGGTGATGGGGCGGCAAGCCCCACACATCTGCACGTCTGAGCGGTGGCGTGCCAAGTTAAAGGACTTTTCCTCCTGGAAAAAACACCTTCCTCACGAGACCACTCCTCTCTTGGGTTCCATGTTAGGTGGTGGGAGGGTAGGTGGTGGGAGGGTAGGTGGTGGGAGGGTATCCTGACTTTGACGGATTTCGAAATCTCATTCGAGTGTCCAGGGATATGTATTCCATCTACAAGTTCATGTCTCGCGTTGCGGGTTGGGGTTATCGTGTTTGGGTTTTCAACTCCGTGTTTTGCCGTCCCTCGAATTGGGTGGAGTCATTGCGGGAACGCAGCTCTCCCGTGGCCAAAAAAACGATTTGGATGCGGTTCTTGTGGATCCATCCCTGCATTTTGTTAAGCCCGGTCTTTGCAAAGGATTAACGGGGGTAAGAGCAGGTGCAATTGCATCCGAGTCGTATGCTAGACTTCTTGTCAAGGGACCCCAGCTAGGTTGATTGGAAAAGGCTAACCCTGTTACCCTCCGGGCTTATCTTTGGCTGAAGGGACGCCTTCCATAGATCTCCCCAAGGGTGCATTAATTTGCCCTGTATGCATTTTCAGTTGCTCGTCGGGTCGCGGTTGATTAGTCCGACCCCTTGTTTTTTGGCATGTTCTAGTTTTTTGTTTGTTTGTTTTGATTGTTGAGTAACCCTGTAGGACAGTCCCACCAAGTTTGTTTTGATTGCTTATGTAAGTAATTGGGCCGAATGGGAGTAACCCTGTCAGTCCCACCCAAAGGGTGCGGGTCCCCGTGCTCGCAGGACTACCACGTTTATCCCGGTGTCTCTGTGAGCCTGGCTCTGTTTTCTGAGTTCACCGTACGGTGTGCCAGGGCCAAGAGGGACAGCGGGAATGAGATTTGAGGTGTGTCTGGAAAATTCAAGAGGAAGCTCCACGTGGTCATGGCTTTGCCTCTCAAGGAAACGCAAAAGGCTACCCTCAACAAGACACGGACCGTTTTCGCAAAAGGTTCACGCCAATCCTTGCGGGGATTGTCCAGGGGGCAGGCGCAGGGTCGTAAAGGGCGAGGAAATTTCAATGGCTGGAACACCCACGGGCTGGCTGCATTGTCATGCTTTCCATCCTCAAAGGGAAGCAATATGAATCCATTGTGTTCAAGTGGGCTTTAACTGTGGAAACCCTCAACAAACAGTTTTCTGATGGCTTTTGGGGGGTTTTGAATGGCTCTCACTTGAATTTTAGGGTCCGGTTTTCTGGGCGAAGCTCAAACGTTTGAAAACTGGGGCCGGTTCTTGTTAGTTCTCGTACCTTCCCGACATGATTGACCCAGTCGAAAGGGCCCATTTTTTGTTTGGCCATTCGAATGGGAACACCTGAAGTTCATCGGCGGTTACACAACTCCCCCTTTCTGTTTTCGGATTTTGAAATTTGTACCTTGGCCCCTGACATTTGGCCATGAGACAAACCTGCCCTCAGCCCCCGCCCAACTTTGAGTCGGGCAGGTCTCCGAGCACCTGTTCAACTACACGGGTATCGCCCACCGCCGGGCGCGGTGGCAGTGTGTGTCCTTTTGTGGACAACAGGTGATATTTGGCTGTGGGTCAAAATTAAGCCACCAGGGGACCACAGGTTTTGGTCCATGTTGCCACTTACCAGGGTTGCATTTTGGGTACCTATTTTTGACCCACAGCCATTTAATGGTTGAACGCTCCTCAAAGATGGGTGGTCCATGTAAATTGATCAAAGAGTCTGAATAATCAAGTATACCGCATACACACTTGGCCGCCTGAGTCTTGTTTATGAATTGGCCGTTTGCAAAATTGAGGCAGCAAGGCAAGCACTCGCATGAAGTCAACCTGCGCAAAGCTGCGGGCCAGAGTTTTATGCGTTTCGAGGCTCCAGTGAGTTAAGCCAAAACCCATTGAGCTTTACACCCTGTGCTGCCGCCTTCAGGCCCGCTATAGAATTTCTTTCATAAGCTCCTGCCGACCGCTTGCCGGATGCTAAAACCGCGGGGCAGGCGCCGGCGGCCGACATGCTGGACAAGGCGGCGTACCTCATCACGGAGGCGAGAAATCAAGTTGCAATGACTGGGCCAGGCTTTCGAAGGAACAGCCGGGTGCCCAGAGGATTCCGCCCCTTTTTTCCCTTTTCATTTTTGGAAAGGGTTTCCCTTTAAAGTCAACCACCAAAAAAAAGATGCCCTGTTTATGCTATGGCCACTGGGCATCTGAGTGAATATTGACAAGTTTGAGACTAGTTCCATACAAAAGACGTGAGTTCAACTCACTTCCTTTGGGTGGCTCGGCCAAACCAAAAGTCCTCGACTTGCTGTTCCACCATGATCTTCCCAAGTTGGAAGCCCCGACCAGTGGATTTTCATGAGAAAGGCCACCCCATCGTTGGTGGATTTTGCAGAAGCCCACCCCCTCCGAAAACAAGAGAAAGGGGCGCCCTTGAGCGTCTGCAGCAGGAAACTCTACTATGATTTGGGGCACTGCGTTGAATGGCAACTTGGCCAGCCCCAGCCCCCCAGCCCCCCAGCCCCCCAGCCCCCCAACCTCCCAGCCCCTTCCCCCATACGTCCAAGGAACGGAACTATCTGGAACAAATCCCCAAAAGCAACTGCCTAGATCAAATCCAAATAAAAATCCAGCCAGCCCCCCCCCCCCCCCCCACACAAAACGTCCAAGGAACGGAACCACCTGGAACCAATCCCAAAAAAAAATCCCCACCCGGGATCGGAACGGGGCGTTCTTCTCGGTCAGGTGAACATCCGCACGGGCGCCATGCGGGACTGGTGCAACACCACGCTCACGGACGAGCTCTGCCCGGAGCTCAAGTTGGCGGGAATTTTGGAGTCGCTGCTTTGCTCAAAAGCCGGACACCCCCCCGAAACGGATCTCGTTCTTTTTTCTCCTTTTTTTCTTCAGTCCACTTAGGTGAAAGGGGATTTCCTCAAAGAAATAAAATTCACTCACAGAGGTGCATTTTGCTTGGATGTTTAAGCCACCAGACCGCAGGTTTGAGTCCATGTGTCCATCTACCAGGGGTTGCACCATCTTGGGGTTTCCAACAAAATTTTGGACCCCACAGCCGCCTGCACAACACACTCTTTAATCCATTTTGCTTGGATGATAGGACTTTAACATTTTGCCGACGAATGGGTTTGCATTAAACCACTAAAAGTTAAACTTTTAGCAGGGGAGCAGAAAGCAACCGAGCGTGGATGGTTTTTGCCTTTCTTTTTCAGTTCCTTAGGCCAAAAGGGGATTTCCTCAGAGAACTATAGGAAACCACACGGGGTGGATTCCTTTGGATGTCCTCAAAAGATCCAAGAAAGGGGATTCCACAGTTGTGGTGAACATTTGCGGTTTCTGAATTTTCAGGGATTGCTTCCTTTTCCTTCGGTTTCAACCCTCGTTGGTCATCAGGTTTTCTCTTCTTCCCTTGTGTTGAGACGCGGAGGCCAGGCAAGTCTGGACATGTTCGTTTCGTTGGCGTTTTGTGACCGTTTGCGGGTGTGTGCAGGCCACTTCTCCGACCACTTTTTGGGGCTTTACCCAAGGAGCCTTGTGTCACCTCAGAAGTGCCTTGTTGTTGAAGGGGAGTAGCATTGGAAGTTTATGCTCCATCTGCCTTTTGGCATGTTTTCAAAAGTTGGCAAAGTTTGGCAGTAGTTTTGGAGGGGCTCCGTCTGCCAAAACCCAGCCATTTGCCAGAACACGCTCGGGTCTGATACAAGAGCAGGTGCCAAGGCCTACATGCGGAAAGCCCGGCAACACTTGTTGTTTCCAATTTGACCAAAAGGACGCCAACAGCGGTTAGGACAGCATTTTGAGAGTTCACATGTCTTGGAAAAGGTGCCCCTTTCTAGTGAGGTTGAGTGCTGTTCTCGGCGGGGGCGGGTGGACAATCAATCACTGTGTTTTGGATTGGGGTGTTGGTTTAGGGTTGGTTTAGTTTGTTTGATTTAGGGTTGGTTTAGGGTCGATTTAGAGTTGGTTACGGATGGGTTTGTGGATGGTTTAGGGTGGTTTCGAGTAGGTCTGTGGTGGGTGTAGGGTTGATTTGGGGCGGCTTGGCTTAGGGTGTGGTTCAGTTGGCTCGCAGCGCCATTTTGCCGCACCAAAATGCCTTTGGCTGCATCCGTGTTTGGAGAATCTTGTTTTGGCGTTAGATTCCCAGACGCCCAGCGGTGCCCTTTTTTCCCGGTTGTTTTGGGAGGAGGTTTCCCTTTAAGATCAAGAGTATCACGAAAAAACACACACCTTTTAATTTTCATGGCCACTGATGGTCTGGGGATTCCATAGGTTTCTAATTTCAACGTAGCCAGAAGGCCACGTTTGTGCCCTGCCCAGAACGCCTCGAGTCGAAATCGCGTAAACTCAGGGCTCCAACTCTTCGCAAGGATGGATTCAAACATCACCTGTTGTCAGGTAACTCCTAGTGGTTTGGGTTTTGGAACCATTGGTGTGGGTCCCAGTGTGGGTAAATGGGAAACTTCCAACCACTAAACCAATCCAAACCACGCGGGAAGCTGATTTTGGGCCCATTCAAAGATAGAATTTTCAATTGGGCAGAACGGGAGCCCTGAGTCTATCCAAGAGTGGAAGGGATCGAAAGGGCGGAGTTCAATGCAAGCTGACCAAGCTTTCTCAGTCGATCACAATGTCACGTGTCAAAAGTTGGCCCTTTGTTGGGTAATCGGATTGGAAGGGCTCCAGCTGGGCACCCCTTTTGGATAGAGTTTATTTGGGAGCTCAAAATAGGTTTCAGATGTTTCAGTCATTTGGAATGCTGCGTTTGTCACATACGGTTCATGGTTGTGGAGTATGGGTTCACGCCACTTCGCCACTTTCCTCATAACTTGTACCGCAATCAGCCGCGGGGTGGCAAGAGCTGAGGGTACCTTGTTTTCGCCAGACCCAAGGTTCGGGACCCAAATCAAGCAGAGGATCGGGCCTCAAAACAAAAGGCCTCAAGACTCTTTTCGAGAGTTGCCAATCGGGTTTGTGATTGGCCAGCGATTCGCATCCCCGCGGTGACATTCGGTAGGCATGGGAATGGGAATCACGAACACAGCGGCATCAAAGAAGAACCTTCTCCACAAGCATGCGGTGGAGGATTGGAACCATCTCAACGAGAACCCCACTTTGGTGTATCACATAAATCTTATGTTAATTCAAGTGTGCGTTGGGCCTTGTTTCTAGGAGCAAGCTTAAGCGGGGGACGTATTGCGTAATTACATAAATGTAAAAGGCTCCGTAGAAATGTGTAAATACATAAGCAACATGACAATAATCACAGTCTAACGCTTTGCTTCTTTGTGTGTAGATAGCTGGAGGTTCATGTCATGTGTAGTTTCAGACTGCTTCCCAACTGTTTCTGTGTGCAATTTCAGCTTGTGCTAGCGTCATGCCTTTGATGTAAACACTGCCTTTGAGCATGGCAACTCAAATGTGTTTCATAGCAACATTATGGACAAGTTTGACTGCTTGATCATGACCGGAAGTGTTTCAGGAGACACCGCCAGGCTGAGCGTTATATAAAATATGAGGGGCTGAATAATTGCAACTAGTATACTGCCACAAATGTGACCGAAAGTGGATATAGTTTCGGCCTTTAAGGAAACCCTGCCATTGCTTCCTCGTATCAACGGGGCTTCTTGTTTCAGACTGATGCCCAGAGGTGTGGGGACCATGAACTACGAGATCCCCTACGCCGCCCTCTACAACCGAGAGCTCGGGCCTCGGGGAAAACGAACTGCGAAAAACCCCTCGGATCGAAAAAAAACCCATGCAAAATGGGGGAAACGCTGACACTTCCTTGCCTCCGGGTGACTTTTCTAAGGAGTTCCCAGGGCTGGGGACTCATGGAGCATCGGGGGTGGCCCATGTTGCTTCGCATCACTTTTGGGCAACTCATTGCTTTTGCTTCGATGCGGGGCCAGTGGCCCTCCTTACCAGCTAAGGCTTGGGGGGCACTTCTTTCCCATTCTCTGCAACCATCATCCTCCCCTTTGCCATTTTGCTGGCGCATCTCTGAACAAAAGTCGGATGGCAGAAAATGGTTGGAAGTCACTGCTGCAGAATCGGTGGGGGGAAGCACCTGCCAAGATTCAAAGCCGGAGGGGTGCCCAACTTTTCGTCGGCTGGCGAAGAGTAGACTTCGCCATGTTGGGAACCGGCTAAAAAGAGAATAGGGACTCCAACAAGGGTACTGGCTCTTGGTGGAGCTACTTCAACCCCGACACCCACCTGAACCCGCGAACCCGTGAACTAAAAACTAGCATCATTTTTTTTGGCGTTGGCCAATTCAAAATTCGATCTGTTGCTCCCATGTCACGTCACAAATAACACACTTGACCAAGGCCTTCAAATTTGTACCATGCACGAAGCCTACTTAAGCTTCACATGTCCCAGGCACCTTCATCAAAGGTGCTCGAGCCTTTTCGGCCCCGATTTCCAAGGAGGAAGGTGGTAGGTAGGTACATCATGCCGTCTTTGACAAGCCCACTACTAGCCTTGGCTCAAGTTGACCGAGCGTGCGTTGTTGATGATTGATGCCCCATTCACTTTTTATCTGGCTGTTTGCGATGGTTTCCTGCAAGATAAACTCCTTTTCCACCATCATCCATTCAACCAGCCCGTTTCCCTTGATTGCCTCGCTGTTGCTGGAAGGAGTGCTCATTGCATGATGGGCCCACTGCAGTGGCCCGCTTCTCAACCGAAGTCCTTTCCCTTTTCCATGGTTGAAAAACCATCACTGTTTTCCGGTAACGTGATTTCCCATTGATGAATTTCAGAGGGAAACTCGGTGGTTGGTGGCTTGGTGGCTCCCAGCTATCCGGTTCCTTAGCCTTTTAGCCTTTTAGTGTTTAGTGGTTGGACTTCCGAATTAAACCCACTAAAAGTTCGTTACTTTTAGTGGGGGTTCTGAAAACGGACAGCTCGGGTGGGACACGTTCTTCAGCCCCCGTCCCCGAGCCCCGAGCGAGGCCGGGCATCCCGCTGTCCCTGCGGGCGCCCTCCTTCACCAGCGCAAAGTTCACCATGGAGGCCGGGCGAAGTTCCCCCGCCGAAAAGTTCTTCACCGTCCCCGAGATCAGGGGTCCCAACAATTTCAGCTTTTGGGCCCGTGAAAGGTGAGTGTCCCTTGGTGGGGGTGATGTCTTAAGGGCAAATGTAGGGAGCCCTGGAGATTTTGTGCTTAATATGGGCCAAGCCCCATGGTATCATCAGGGGGTTTACTGATCTTAGAGCTCCATGAGTTGGCCATGGGTCAAAAGCCAAATCGTTAGCCCCCAGTGAACATCCGATTCAATCCAACCACTAAAATAGGTTCTAAAATGGGTGGTGCACCTACCCCCAAAAATGGGATCCCATTGGTTTTGATCCAACGGCCATTTTTTGTGAAGTCCCGCTTGGTGATTCCCCGTTGAGGAGTCATTTGATTTTCGTTTTGCAACAAACCCAAATGTCAGTTTTTGGTCCCAAGCCTGTGGCAACAGCCCCTTTGTCAAACAGCCAGCCCTGGTTGGTCCCCTTAGAGAAGCAAAAAGGCGGTGGTTTAAACGACGATTGCATCGCTCAAGCCTGCCCCGCGGAAGGCTTTCGTACCGCAAGTTGTTGGTTCTCTTTAGCCCTCCCTTTCTACCTGACAGGTGCAACAGCCGCCTGAGGCTGGTTGGTTTCCTTTGGGTTTTCTTCACCATGCCAAAGGGTTCCCAATTTTAGGATCTCATGGACCCATTCCTGGCCCCGGGTCTTACATGATGGCCCCCCGGTATATATGCCTCATCACCCGCAATCTTGATTACACAACCGCAAGGGGATGAATAGTCAAGGTGTCCCACGATGTAGGTCGAAGTCATGTTCATTGAAAAGCCTGGGTCAAGATATGGGTTCGTCTCTTGAAGAAGGGAAACCGAAGCCCATTTTTGAGAGACTGTACAAAGGTTCTTCGTTTTGTCTCTTGAGGCACCAAGCCTGAAACTCAGGAGCCACACCCAGCCCAGAAGAAAGATTAGTTGGTTTCCTGTTAGTTTCCCCCAGAAAAGCAAGCAACAATGGGGTCTCCGGTCTTTTTCAACCCTAAAGGCTTAACTCGACTGATCTTCTCTATTTAATTTGTCCCTTAATTGAGTTCACCCGAAAGTTTTGCGAGGAAGCGAAAGGAGAATCCGAGGCTTCCGCTTCGAATTCCGCAGCAAAAGGTAAACCCAGGCTTCCATTCGGAACACCCAAGTTCTTTGCCATCACTCGCTCGCTCTCCTTGAGGCGGGCACCATCATTGTGGACTTCGACCGTGCGACTCTTCAGGGCGCAGTCACCAGGGTCCGCCGGTTCCGTCGGAGACGCAGATTTTGGGAGAGGTTCTTTTTTGATGGCGCTTCCTTGTCCCAGTTGCACGGGGGTTCCACCCCCTCAGACACAGAAGGTTGGTTGGTGTGCGCGAAGGTCGCGAAGAAACACGAGCGATCCGGCAAAGGGTACAGCTGACACCAAGAGGCCCCCATTCTACTTCCTCCAGCATTTTCCGCTCCAAAACCTGCCGGGGTCTGTGGCATGGGTAGGCGGATACTGGGCCGAGTTGCTCCAGCCAAAGTGTCCAGCTCCAGACGCACGATTCTTATAGATATGTAAGAAGCAATGTGCTAAATTTGATTTGTTTGCGGCAGCAAAATCTATGCAAAGATTTCAAGGAGAGTGTATAGAAGTATATGTGACTCGTTTCGTTGCTTTACTTCCATTATCGGTTTTATTATTTGTCGTGTCAGCGACATGTCAAGAGTTTGCATGGCTGTGCCTCAAAAGTCGTGTCAAACAAACGGATGTCTCCAAATGGAAGGAATCACCTATTTTCCCGGGGTAACCAAGGCAACATTTATCACCCATTTCGCGGCACCTTGGTTCGTTCTTGGCGGAACCTATCATGGTGCCGAGGATTTGGGATCCCATTGGCGGGTGGCTTGTGGTGCCGCTTTTGGCATGTCGATAGAAATCGAGATCACTCATTCGGGGATTTGCTACGATCACACACGCCCATGATGTAGGTGGGATGCTTTGTTTCAGGTTTTGTTATTACGATATTTGCGGATTTGCCGGGGGTTTCGATTCCAACCAGCTGGCTTCAGCTTTCCCCAAGCTTTCCCAAGGCAAGCTTGGGACTTTGCAAATGTTGGGGTAGGCGTAGCTCAGTCAATATGAGAAAGACCCAAGGGGCGGTGACTTCCCCCTGTGACCGAGACTGAGGGCTGCCCTTGGCTGCCCGCTGAACAGGGCAGATGCCAAGTGGGGGTAAGTTTACCGGAGGGCTGCGACTGATCCTTTTCGGCTTCATGGGGATCTCTTATGTGTTGAATGCATGAACTCATTTGGGAATGGGGGGCAGGTTTTTCCTTTTGGTTCCCCGAAGAAAAGTGCAAAGTCTCGTACTTTGAGACAGATGTAGAATCAAATGGTTATGACCATGTTGAAATGACCCTGGACGGGCATTCTCTTTGACGCCGGCCAGGACGACAACAACGACAACGTGCCCGAACGCATCGCTGAAACCTCAAGGGCGTGACGTGCAAGTGACCCCCAACAGTCTTCAGCACTTTGTGGGTGACTGGGGCAGGTTTTTGTCTAGTTCCTTCTTTGGGTGATTTAAACCTTACCTTTGGGTCTAGTCTTGATTGAGTGTTTTTTGGGTGCGAGGTTTCAAGGGGACCTATAACATATACGGAACCCTGCTGTGGGTGCCCTTAATGACCAAGCTGCGAACACACAAGCCAATGCAAACCCAAGGCAGACAACCCTGAAGGCGCCAAGCAGGCCATGGGGATGAACCCCCCCCCAAAAAAAAAGAAGAAGAAGAAGGCAGTTGTGTCCGAGTGTGCTTCGCCCAGATTTCGGTGTTGCGACCTCGAGATATGTTTTGTTTTTCATGCTAGTTTCAACAATTTCTAGGGTGTGTTGGCAAGAGACGGGCGGTTGTTGGCAGCCACGACAAAGATGAATGGAATCAGCATTGCAACTGCGCCCAGGGAGCATCATCCGTGGAGAACCTTTCCCAGCACCTCTCTGGAACTTCCATGGAGCGTAGATATGCCAGCCAATTTTTGGAAATCAAGCTCAGCTGGAGAAACACGACCTTGCTATCATGAAGGTCCTGTATTTTGGGATCTCATCGTCGGGAGGTATTGTAACATTTGCTCAAGGTTTCAAGGATCTCCCTTAAATGCTTGCTTTCCCTTTGGTGTTCTTTCACGCCACCCCGCAAAGAACATTTCTTTCACGCCACCCCGCAAAGAAATGTTCTTTCACGCCACCCCGCACATAAATTTTCTTTCACGCCACCCCGCAAAGAAATTTTCTTTCACACCCCAAAAAAGAAAAAAGGCTTGGGAACTCTGCAAGGAGCCCCTTCATTCCGCAGAAAAAGGAGCATCGAACGGACTGGCTGAGGATTACTCCACCCAGCCGGACGGCCTCTTCGACTGCGCGCGGGTGGGGAGCTGAACGCAAAATTTTGCCTCGCTCAGGTGGCCGTGTGTGGGGTGGGAACCAGGTCCCCCAGCTAGGTGCCCTTTCTCACCAACTTTTTTTGGTTGGGAGGGTACCCCTAAAATAGACTACAGAAAAACAGGGGCGCCCTTCGAAACTCTCTGGAGGACCTAGGGAAGGAACCAGAAGTTCTGGTTGGAACCTTTGGTGGAGAATGGGGGTTGATGTCCAGCAACTGAGGTGTTCCCAAAGGTAGGCAAGTATACATCAGTTGTCTGATGCATATGCATCTTGAAATCTAGACATGCGAGAACCATATTAGTTACAATGATTGGGACATCGCATATGGGGAAACATATGTAAATCGAGATGAGGTGCGCAATAGCATGCCGCTGGTAGCAACAGCGGATTCCCACAATGACAAAGAATTGCAGTAAGCCCGCAAATTGGGGATTAGCAGAAGTTCGTGGCTGAAACATAGTCAAGCATCTTCAACCGGGTAATGTCGACATTCAAAAGCAACCAGGGGTTTATGCATCGTGGTTGATTGTTCCTTTCTAGTGAAACAAACTTAACCAACGGGCACCGGCGCCGCTGAAAGCTGGGTTGTTCAACAGCAATCCCTTGTCATGCAAGATGAAGATGGCAGTAGTTTTCCCTGCAGTACGGCATCTTAAGGTCACTACTAGTCACTATTGGGCTGAAATGAGTTCACTCACAACAACCAGTCGCTAGGGTATGTATTGAAAAACAAGGTGTCCATGCTCAATATCTCCATTTGTTTTTGTCATACCACAGAAAACGGATGTTCGGTGCCGGGGGTACCCACCTGCAAATTAAAGGACGGAACCGCAAAAAGGGTTCCAGAAGAGCTTCCTTGTGCAGCTTTTGGGGTCCCATGTTAATGAGGTGAGTACTTGGAGGGTTACTATTCCCAGTTGACCAATCCCGGTTGGGTTTATGCTAGAACCCGCTTGGCCCTTTTTTCTGGGGTATGTGTGATGACCCTGTTGTGACCAGCTAAGTGGTCTTCCCAGACCTTGGTAACCTGGCAGCAACAAAACGTCCCCCCTAACAATGAAGAGAGCGAGGCAACTCAAGAAACTGAGTTGCCGCGCACCATCGCCCATCTTGGGATCACCCTTGGTTCTTTTGGACACAACGTTCTGGTTCTACAGGCCTGACATGCGCTCAAAAAAAAGTCTCGGTGTCTTCGCAGGTCTTCACTTCGCCGTCCATGCTCTTGTTGGGCCCTGCGCCGGACACGCAGCTCCTCCGGCCTGCCCTTGCCGGGTCGGTTTGGAAGGTTGCCCTGGGCGTTTCCTGCAGATTGTTTTTCGTGAAACAGGCATTGTGCTGATTGAAGCTGATAGACCTGAAAACCAACTCAGGTTATGAGTTTTGGGGTGTCCTTTTGGCTCACTTTGGCAGAAAATAGATGGGTTCCACTGGTTCAGTTCGGTTCTAATCATGTATCACTTTCATGTTGCTTTTTTTGCGAACAAAGGGTTAAAGGACATGGCACGGACTGTTAGGGTCCCCAAAGGGCCCCCCCCTCTTTTTGGCAACCCACAGTTTTGGCTTGGCGCCGGTTTCCCGGCTTCCTGCCCTTTGCGCGGGCTCGGAGATGCAGCATTGCCGGCTCCGGCGCAACATTTGTCCAGGGTGTTCCACTGACTGGTCCGGAACCCAGGGCCTCCCAAAGGCAAGTGGATGCTTGACAGCGGATCTTGCACGTGTTTTGTTTTGGGCAGATCCACTTGGCCAAAAGGCTGTAACGATGGTTTCTCGGCATGGTTCTGCTTTTCTGGGCCACTCCATGCCAGGTGCATCTGGATGACGGATTCGAGGATCCAGATCAACCTGCCCTCAGCTCCTTGATCCATCTATTCGGGAAGGGAAGGACACTCGCCCCGTTTGGCCACCTGCCATGTTTGGTGCCATTTGACATCGTTTGGCCCTTGGCCAAAAGGATGGGCAGAGCCGAATTTTCAGTTCTCGTTGTTTTCGGATTACACAAGTTCTATTTTTGACAGGATTCATGGTACGCACTGCGGCAAACTAGAAGAAGACTCCGCTAAACCAGCGTGAACTGACTCAAGTGTCCCTATTAGATTCCAAGAACATTCAATCAGGTTCCAGGTGGGAGGGTACATGAGGACGTCTGCCCTCAAATTGACACTCACAAAGAAGGCTTATATAAGCTCTAGATTATTCCTAAAACAAGACATGGATGGCCCTCTGTTGTTATGTTTTGTCAGTACTTCCTTGTGTCAGGATTGGGTAATTTGTGTGTGCGTGTGTGTGTGGTAGTCGTTTCTCCAGCTTCCTCTCCGGATTCAATCCCCAATTGTCCGTTACTAGTTGCCCGTCGTTTCCACATGCTATTTTCGCAGAGAGTCTCCGGAGATCGGGGAGGGGCCTTCCAAATTTGTCAGTGAAAGTCGGCTGGTAGGGAAAAAAGGATTTGTCTCGAAAAGCTTGCCTGCTGAGCCCCTGGCAGGCATCGTTTTTCCTTCCCGGACCAAAGCCTCTCGCGGCTCAAGAGGGTGCTGGAGGTTCACGGGTTTACTCGAAGGTTTCATTGAGGTTCAGGGTTGCGGGGATGGATTTTTTGGCCAACCCCCCGAGAACTGGGGATTCGACAAGGTCGGTCTCGTGTCACGCAAAATCCCATGGCCCAAATCTGGCGCTGGTCATCCCCGAAAGCAATGCACGGAAGGCATACTTATAGGCACCCATTCGTGTTGGGCAAGTGGGGATACGACAAACGTACTTGAACTACTTTTGGGATGGGCCATCGGTCGCCATTCTTCAAATCCGAGGTGATTAACATCTCCGTGGGAGATTCCATCTTCGTCCTGCCCAGACCTTGGCCGAACGGAGCTCTGTGTTCCTGAAGGATCTGGGTTTGGCAACGAAGGAAGGACAAGGAGGATCGCTGATCTCGGCAATTAAGACGGAACGCACAAATCCATCATTTTAAGATTCTGGGCGACCCTAGTTTTGGGAATGTTGATTTGCAGGGGAGTTGTTTTGGTTCTTCTCGGATGTTCAACGCCTGTTTGCGCATGGTTATAAGTTAACGCGCTTGTTAAGGTTGAACATCCAAGTTGGCTCGTGAGGTAGTTATTTCCGTTGCGGGGTTCTGTTGATTTGTTGGTGGGGGGTGGGTGGGTGGGGTGCGGGGCTGGGGGGTGGGGGATTGGGGGCTAACATTCCAGACCGGACAAGCACCTTATTGGATCCAGCCTTGGTTGTGAAGGTCCTGCTTTTTGAGTCGCATGTTGACCTGAGGTGACACATAAACGAAAAGAGTGAGTTTGCATTCAATCATTCTTGTCTCTTGCAGCTCTTTGACTACCAGCCTAGGAAGCGTGTTTTGTCAGAGCACGTAGTTCTTGGCAAGGACCCTCTCGGTCCGGTCGACAAGGCCTCCCGTCTCCCACCTGGAGCGGAGTAGCCCGCGCAAAGGTTTCCCTTTGCATGATCAATGTACCCTTTTCAGGTTGGTTCAAAGGGAACCCAACAGGAAAACCATCATCTTGCCTTTCCCATTTTTTGACAGCCTAGGGGAAGTGCGTATCTTTGATCACATATGTGCTTGGGGAAGTAAGGGAGGCCTCCAAAAGAGGTTTCCACACTCTTCGGTCCCTCAAAATTGGGGAACGGACGGCAAACATTCACAAGCCAAAGCTTCTGACCTTAGGACAAGTCGGAAGCCTGCGGCTTGTGGGCATCCAGAGAGCCTCTCTCTCTCTCTCGAGTCCCAACATATCAGGACCCGTAGGGGAGAGAGATCGTTGCGATGCCCCTGGCATCACTAGGTGCCTAGCATGGTATACCCTTGCATACTCAATTCACGAGTTATCAAGCCTAGTTTCAAGGGAGTATATGGCGGACAAGTCCCCAGGGATACTTGGCTGTTTTCCTGGAGGAATGGCATTCCTTTTCCAGGACCTAGATGCAGACATCAGGGTTTCATGGATGTCATCGGGTGTCGACATGTGGAAAGCGAAGAGCGGTCGGGACCAGGCCGGACACAATCTACACCATCCCCCGCAACGGGGAGTGGTCCCCCGCAGCCATGGGCGGCGTGCAGGCTGGGCGCCGGGCGCCGGGCGCCGCGCGTGTGGTGTCGCAGGTTTCTGGGGTCCCAAATGACCAAACCAGCGATGGTCTTATATAGGGTTAGTACAGAATTTCTTAGGGTTAGGCTTATTGTTTGATTGGCTTATTGTCTCATTGGTTATAATAACCAGCTATTGTCTTATTTTCTTGATAGAATTTGTCTTATTGTCTTAGGGTTGTCTTAGGCTTAGTGTCTTGCGGTTGCCGGACTCTGAACATGACTTTCAAATGGTCGAGGTGACGCGTCTGTCGGGACTTCGGGTTAGTCTTTTCTTACCCCAAGCCTTGCGGGACCAACTAGTCAAAGGACACACACAACTTCTTTTCTCTATGGGGCACATGGTCCCAACCTGGAACTACATAAGGGCCCCCTACACAGAATGGTTTGAGGAGAACCCTCCGATAAGAGGCCCTGCTAACTCAGACCCTACCTGGGCTCCAGACGAAGGTTCTTCGCTGCAGATCCCTTTGTTGCAGTCAGGTCCAACCATAGGAAAGCTATTTGAATAGTCCGTGCCTCTTGCCCAAGAGAGGAAACGCAGACAAGCTGTTTGCTGCAAGGGAACTAGCCCAAGCATTTGTCATGTTGTGTGAACATTGGTTTACTTGCACGGTTGTGTGAATTCATCGCCAAGAGGCTTAGTCTTCAATAATTCATCCAGTCGTTTGGGGGTCCTGTTTGGCGAACCTGAATGCCTAGGTGTGCTGTTTTCGGCCAGACTCATCAACCGATAGGCGGTTTCTTGGGGGGAGGCACCCCGCCATCCGGGCTCCGGGGTGCCCGGATGGATCAGTCCGGCGAACCAGGCCAACGCGAACCAACGAACGATGCAATGAACCAATGAACCACCCAACCAACCCAACCCAACCCAACCCAACCCGACCCGACCCAACCAACCAACCAATGTTTTTCTAAATGCAGGGGACAATGACAGGGTTTCCAACAGTTTCCTTTAACATGGCCCTACCAAAAGGAACCTCGCTTCAGATGACTTCAAAAGGTGAAGTATCAAAGTATACACCATCAGAATGGGGAACAGGGAAAAGGGCTGGAACCTGCTATTTGAGGATTCCTTGTTCAAACCCGGAATCCAGCAACACCATGATGAATCATTGCCGACCAAATTGCCATAATTCACACACCAAAGATCAGGAGACACTGAAAGGAACCTTTGTCATGGTCTTCCTGAAGGGTTCCGGTGAGAGGATACCTCCATGAACTTACTTGGATATTCACCCAACTTAGTAGGTTTTGAAGGTCTTCTCAGTCAACCAACCCCTGTTGTTCCACTTGTCACTGTAGTTACCCAAGTATTTTGAGTTTGATGTTTAACTCACTTAGTACGTAGATGGCTGTGGTTGTCAAAACCAAGGGGAGCCCATTTTGGGGTAGGTGAATTCACCACTCAGTTTAGAACCTATTCTAGTGGTTGGATTGAATCGGATGTTCACTGGGGGCTAACGATTTGGCTTTTGACCCATGGCCAGTACATCCCACTTCGCTCAGCTAGTGCCGAGTATTCTAGGGCTAGCTTCCCGTTCCATTCTTAACCCAGGGATCCGAATCTTTTCAGGAAACCATCATAAAAACCCAGGTTGGAAACGGCTCCGGTTTTTGAAAAGAACGATGGCTGAAAAGAATGGAAAAGGAATCAACCCCTAGAAGTATGTCTGGTGGTCCGCATTGAACTTTTCTTAGATCGAGTTTGATATCTCGCATCTACTCAAAGCGATAAGAACACTCCTTCAAGGGGTCCCACTCAAGTGTCAGGTTTTTGCAACACGCAGACTTGTTGCTGACTTGTAACGGGGCAACATTTACTAATGCTTCAACTACGAGAGCAAACATGCAGGTCACTACCAGTCCGGCTCCTACCAACTTGGTTGAACATCCAACAGCAGCCCCTGTATCTCCCTTTCTAGTGGTCTCTAGTACGCCCCAGTCAACCTGGCCCATAGGTGAGTGTCCCTTTGTGATGTTTTAGATGGACATGAATTTCAGTTACCCTCCCACCAACTCCCTTTCCAAGAGGAAATAATCGTCTTTCTACAGGGGTCTGTGCACAAACTCATGTCAGGTGGGAGGGTAGGGATCCCTTGGTCAGCATTTGGGGATTGGTGTCCACCACCCTCTTTTGAGGGGCCAAGTTGGCTGATGTCTCAGTCAGGTGGATCCGCCGGATCCCTTGGAGCCCCCTGTGATTGCGCCGGCCTCGGATGGACCAAAAGCAAGCAGATACACTTGCTTCATTTTCTTCCCGTTGCATTTGTTTTTGCAAACAAAACATAATTGCACCGCCACCTGGGTCTTTTTTCGCTGGGGATCCAACCCTTTTGTTTGGCAAGCAATCTCCGACCTGCCCGGCGTTTCGAAGGGAAGCCCAACGCCGCATTGCTTTAGGTGAAGTGGCTCTTGCTGCTCTTTGGTTGTCCGTGCTTGGCCCATTTGTGTCAAGTTCCAAGTCCTTTGGGCAGGCAGTTTTGAGACGAACCCAGAGGTCTGTTGAACTCTCTCTTCGGTTTATTGGGGCCCAGGGAAAAATCCCAAACCGGGGTTAACGCGTGTTGGTGCCTGGGCTACACCTGTTCGCAGGTGTTTCGGGGGTAACAGACCGAAGCTTCACCAAAAAAGTTGTGTTGCACGGGTGTGTTGAAGACCTTGCTTAAAGCCCTTTTGCAAACAGGGATCTGTTTGAACTTTCATTTTAAGGTTCACCAAATGAGAAGAACCCAACATCTGATTTTTGGTGCCGCAAAAGCTGTAGTTTAGAATCGACCCCATCCATGGTGCCAATTTTGTTCCTTTGGCCACAGATTCACCTTTTTCCAGAAGCCACACACTTGCAGCAACTCAAGGGAAGAACCGGCTCTCAGTTTTTCTAGGGGTACCTTCCCCATTCTTTAAAAGCATCCTTTCCAAAAAACCTCCAGAAACCCCTGGTTGGAAACAGCGATGGGCTTGTGAAAAGAAGGATGGTTGAAAAGAATGGCCCCTAGAAAGGGGCATGGAACCCAACCAATCCAAACCATCAGTGGGGGGCGACCCCAGCAACTTGCGGGGCTTCGCCGGTTAAACCGCCGGCGGCTCCGCTCAGGTGCTCACAGGATCCACCAACTTGGACCAGCGCGGGCCCCGGTTTGCGGGTTTTGGAAGAAACGGTCAAGAAGAATGGCATGGAGGGTAGCCCTAGAAAGTGGTCTTCGTTTTTTTGATGGTTTTGCTCGGGTCGCCCCCCACGGTCTGGATTGGTTGGATTGGAACACCTTCCCTAACCACCAAACCAATCCAAGCAAACCGAATCAGAGGGCAGCTGATGTGCAGAGCTCTTGGCAACTTCCGGGTGAAACCTTCCCAACGGGACCTCAAAGGAAATCCCAAGTTTGCATGTCTGGATGACGAGTGTGGATTTGTTGAAGGTATTCCCCAAAAATTGGCCGCAAGAAAGGCTTCGGCACATGAGTTCGTTAGAGGAAGGTGTGGCAAGCAATCCGGCAGGAGGTCCCACGGTTGCTCGAGCCGAGCAATCCCAGGTGCGGGGCTGCACGACCAAAAACCCACGCCTCCCATTCAACCCAAGCACATCGGGTCTTTGGGCTCAGATGGTCAGGATATGACATTAGGTGGATTTCAGCCCGGATTCATGACACCGGATGTATGGCATCTCCTCTAAGGTGGGTTTCATAGTGGATCAACTGGGCTTTGAGAAGGGTGTCACTGCTTTTTCTCGGCTTCTCTCTCAGAGATACCCAAGACGTTGGCGTCCTTGTTTGTTGTTCCCTCTCCTTCTTGCAACTGCTTGGTTGCCTCATTTCGGGGCATAAACCTCAGAATCCCAATCCAGCAGGTGTAGAATTCGCTTGAACTTTCCTTGAAGCAAGTTGACTGGCCATGAACTTTCTTGGGGTCTCCTCGAAACTGGTTTGTCGGACATAAGCCCCGGCAGTTGGGAGGCCCAGATCCCTGAGCATTTGAAGCCCTGATACTTCGTCAGCCGCCTGGACTTCCGCAGGGTTCACCCCCGATTTTCCCGAAATCTCACTCTAGGGGTGGATTCCTTTTCCGTTCTGTTCAGCCATCGTTCTTTTCTAAAGCCAGCCATTTCCCCGGTGGTTTTTGGTGGATTTCTAGAATGAAGGACCCCTGGAAAGAATAGAAATGGAAGGTACCCCTGGATATAAGGATTACCCTTCCAATTGTCCCAGGTGGTTTGTTTCCTTGGGGCTTCGAAACAGACGCGCTCTCAAATTCTTAAGGCGTCGGCCGGCTCGGCTTCAGGTGCACTCCGGTGAAGCTGGTGGGGGTCGACTCCTTCCAGACGGGGAAGCTGCCCAGGCCAGCGGGCCAGCGGGCCAGCGATGAAGGGGGGGGTTTAGGGTCGATGTGGGTTTGGGTTCTGATATACTGTACATATATATACATATACATATATACATATATACATATACACATATACATATATATATATATATATATACATATATATATATATATATATACAAGTTCATGGTTGATGAACATGTGATATATCATCTGAACACTGATGAGGTTTGGTGTACTCTCTAGGGCCAAGACTAATCAAAGGGCACCAGAGCGGCCGAAAAAGCCGGGAAGGGGGAATCTGGGCGCCCCATTTCTCCCCTAGACTGCTAAGAATGGGAAACGACTGGTTGATTTTGATTCAAGGGATGCCCGGATTTCAAAGGGAGTACTGGAGATCACTTTTGCTCGGATGCTGAAAATTCCGGGGTCGCCACTATCGGTAGTCCATTTCTTCCATGGGCGGATCCAATTTCCACACGAGGAACAGGGGAACAACTCCAATCTTTCTCTTCATTTTCCCATGCCATACAGCCATCGGATGCATCCGCCCGCTGGGCCCGCTGTTCAATGGCCCCCGCGCGTAGCCCGCGCTCTCCGAACGTTCCGAGAGATGTCTCCGCGAGAGGTACCGCTGGGAACTGGCGAACGGCACCCAGGAGGATCCCAATCCAAAGGACGCGCAGCCGCTTCAGTCGGTTTTTCGGAAAACATCCAGGTCCCCCAGCCAGGTGGACCTCTCACCCACTGTTTTGGTTGGGAGGGGAACCCTACTAAAATAGACTAGAAAAGGGCGCCAACTTATTCTAACCTCTCTACTGGAGGACCTAGACATCGATTTTCTCCTTGCCTGATCGGAATTCTATGGCATGAGCCGTGGTTAACATTTGCCATCAAAAGGGTTGACATGGTGGATGGCCGAGACTGCAGAACTTCTTTTGGTTTTCTTGGGCCAAAGGGCACCCTTTTCTCTGGAAGAAAACATAGTTGTGGGATTTGTTGGTTTTGGGATTCCCAACTTTCTTCATACGGGGATCGCCCTCAAAGGTGACACTCAGCACTCAGCTGTGACAGGGATAGGAATCAAACACTGAATGTCTATTATTATGATGATTACTATTATCATCATCATTATTATTATTACTATCATTATTATTATTATGATTGTGATTAGTATTGTTATTATTAGAGCATTTATTTAGAGTATATATATATATACATATATATATATATATACACACATATATATATATATATGCTCACGGGTGCATTTGCAGGCACCCCATGTTATACTTTCCGTCAATTCAATGCAGCCTGCCAGTCATTTGCAGGCAGTTCCAAGTGGACTTCTTGACGAAAACAGCGCGTTGTTTTCGTCAGCCTTTTGCCGGACACTTGCTGGTTGTGTGTAGAATACTGATGATGCTTGATTGCCGCAATCTGCCTTAAAGGCAGCTGATTGCCTGGAAGTTGGTTCGAGCAGGGGTTCGTCATGGCTTCAATAGCTATATTTGCCCTGTGGTCGTGGCGGTTGCTTTTGCTGCAAGGCTTGCATGGGTCAAGATCACAGCCAGAAGAAAAAGCAGGCTCCGCATTTACCAAAAGTAAATAAAAACGCGCCCAAGCGAACCCTCTTCTTGATGAAGCCCACAGCACAACATGGTAGTAAACACGCCCAAGGGAAACCTCTGTTTGATGAATCCCACATTGCAACACACGCCCAAGGGAACCCTCTGTTTGATGAATCCCACATCACAACATGGTAGTAAACACGCCCAAGGGAACCCTGTGTTTGATGAATCCCACATCACAACATGGTAGTAAACACGCCCAAGGAAACCCTCTGTTTGATGAATCCCACATCACAACATGGTAGTAAACACGCCCAAGGGAATCCTCTGTTTGATGAATCGCACATCGCAACATGGTAGCAAACACGCCCAAGAAAACCCTCTGTTTGATGAATCCCACACCACAACATGGTAGTAAGCACGCCCAAGGGAACCCTCTGATTGATGAACCCCACATCACAACATGGTAGTAAACACGTCCAAGGAAACCCTCTGTTTGATCACAACATGCTAGTCAACACGCCCAAGGAAACCCTCTGGTTGACGAACCCCACATCACAACATGGTAGTAAACACGCCCAAGGGAACCCTCTGTTTGATGAATCCCACATCACAACATGGTAGTAAACACGTCCAAGAAAAACCCTCTTTTTGATGAATTCCACATCACAACATGGTAGTAAGCACGCCCAAGGGAACCCTCTGTTAACCCTCTGTTTGATGAATCCCACATCACAACATGTAGTAAACACGTCCAAGGAAACCCTCTGTTTGATGAATCCCACATCACAACATGGTAGCAATCACGCGCAAGAAACCCTCTGTTTGATGAATCCCACATCACAACATGGTAGTAAGCGCACGCCCAAGGGAACCCTCTTCTACAAGGTGCTTGGGCTGACTAAAAAGGCGTCTTGCTGAATGTCAAAAATCCGAGATTTGCGTTTCGCCTGCGCGAAACGGCGCCTGGAAGTGCGCCCTTCGGGATATATCATATATATATATATATGCTAGTTATTTGACACACAACCCTTCCAAACAGATCACTGTCCCGAGAGATGATCTTTATCTTCATGGTTGTGGGACATGAGCCTTGCTGTGACACCTGAAATCCTGAACGGGGCCCACTCACAATCAAGAAGCTCGTGTGAAGGAAAGCTCAAGGGGAAACGTGCCCCCGGGCGCGGCTACTGCACCGGGCCAGAAATGCTGCCGTTCGACCAACGCTGACAGCGCTTAGTCAGCGAAAGACATGCTTCTAGACTAAAAGACCCGTGATGCTGGACCAATTGGGCCCGCGAGGATTAGAGTTTAGTTTTGAATCTGACGCATGCATGGCTTAATCTTCGAGACGAACATATGGCAACTTGAAGGATCAACCAGGTTGATTCATCACACATATGGCCCGGTCGCCGCAAGGTCTGCGCGAGAGAAGTTAGAAGTTAGTGAAGTGAGAAGTTAGAGGAACTGGAGGTTGGATGCTGTAGAGGTTACAGAGGTGGAGCTTACAGGGGATAGAGGTGGCAGAGGAGTTATAGGTTTGACGTAAGGGTTGGAGAAGTAAGAGGTTGGAGTTCGAGGTTAGGTTAAAGATTAGGTTAGAGGTTAAGTTAGACTTAGGGGCTATATTTTTAGAGGTTAGACGTAGAGGGTTAGGAAAGTTTCACGTTGGTCGTGTCAAGAGTCTGTCGGGGCGGGCATCCCCCCACTTGATGCCACGGGACGGCATGGCGTTGGCACAGGGTCGGAAACCAGGGAAAACACGAAGGGCGCTCCATGCAGGATCTAACGAACAACCCGCTTCGCATCATTGACGCCGCGAAAGTGCAGGAACCATTGACGGGATGCGGGTGGGCGCCTACTCCCCGTCAAAGACTCTACTCCCAGACAACTTGCGACGGAATCTACTTTTTGTTGGGTCCTCCAACAGGAGCATCATGGCTTCTAGGGGCTCCATGTTTATCTGCAGGGAAGTATTTTAGCAGGTTCCTTCCGGAAAATATCAGCACCAAACAGATGCCAGAAACTCGAGGGGCTATCCCTCATAAATTTGACACTCTATTTGCGCTTTGCGGGGATGGTCCACTTGTGGGAATGTAGACAGCCATGATACAGGTTCTTAATGGATACGCGACCATAGAAGATATGAGCAATGTCCAGAACCGCTGGCCAGGTGAATGGAGTAAAGAGGGTTACTCCTTGGCTTCACAGGGTTCACAGCGAGTTTTGGGCACTGCGCAAACTACAAGTTTAGACGACATTTTGAGTCTGGTGGCGTAACCTTCCTTTTGTTTGAGCGGAATCGGTTTGGAGGTGGATGCCTTCCACCATTCGAAGGTTGAGTCAGTATTTGTTTAACCATGCGCATTAAGAATGCAGACTATGGTGTGTTGATGCCCATTTTGCTCCACTGTGAGAGGAACAGCTGAATTGTTCAACGGGTCCCTTGATTTTTGATCTCCCAACTGTTTTCCGGGCTCAGCCGGAACGCACATTTCGTGGAGCTCATAGGCCGCGGGTTCGAGGGGTCGATTCCGGCAGTGGGCTTTCTGGAGGGGGTTACAATCCCTCTTATATAAGACCCGCCCAACCCGCCCGACTTCATCAAATTCTATTGGTAGGAGGGTGGTTTGCGGAATCCAGCCCCTGCGAATTGGCGAATTGGCCAATCCGCGAGGGGAACCTTCCCCTTTTCTCTGGGGCAGAACGGCTGGGTCCAAAATGGTTGCCCCGTTTTTACCCTTTTTTGGACCCCGGCTTCTACAAGAACTTGGTTGGACACATCGTTTTCGAAGAATCGTGGCTAGGCCTTCGGCCAAAGAAGAATGGTTCAACTTTGTCTCCCAGAAAGGTGCAGTCTGAGCCACACACATAGAGACCGCATAGAACCCCCATCGGGTGGTTGGTTGGTTTTTTTAAAGGCTGGACATGCGGGTGTGATTCCTGTCTATATGGTTTGTGTTCAAGCCAGACTTCGGAGAAGAACGACTGCCATTTTTTCGGGATCCCCGATTTTGAGCCTGCTCCGTCTACGGGAGACATAGTGTCCCCTGCTTAAAGTATTTTAACAACCGAGGAGAAACTTTTTGAGTCTCACCTCTTTCGGCTCCGTGTGTTCCAACGCTTCTTTTAAGTGCCCGTTCGTCTCAGCTTGGGGCACATGGAATGGATTCTCATGTTCTTTTTCTTCTCAAGCATGTGTTCATCAACTCCTGATGCTCAAGCGTCCAACGTAAACAGCACATCATCAACTGAGCACCCAAAAGCCGGATCAGTGACTCCGTTCCCTTCGCCTTTCGAGACACGTCGCGTCGCGTCTTCCGCCAGTTGGTGAGAGAAGCGCTGCAGTTCGCCACGGACTTCAACATGGGGACCTTAGAGATGCCCAGCCCCGCGGCGAGAGCAAGCGGGGGTTGCCGACCGGGCGGGTCTCTGGCTTTTTTGGGTTTGCCAAAAGGAAGGCCGAAGATTTCAAGAGGGCATGTGGTTCCATGGGACACAATCCCCTCCACCAAAAAAAAGGGGGGAAGGGGAAGATCCAATGTTCGCGGGCACGGTTTCACCGGGCTGGCGTGCGGGTCGGAAACCCCAAAGGCCCTAGGATTCAATTTGGCCAATTGATCGGTTTTGGGCTCATTGATAGATGAAAGCGAGCTCAGGATGAAGGTGCTTGGATACATGTCTTGCTTCAGTTTCCTTTTTCAAGTTTGCAGATTTCTGCAATGGGAACCCAGGCCCTGGCAGATTTATAGGGGCTGCCACCTTTTAGAGGGGTTTCCCGGATCTCGTTTTGGGCAAGCACCTTTTTAGTGCGCCAGGGTGATGCGTCTGGGATCAACATTGAGGGCTCCACTCCTTGCTTTCTGCCGAAGAGCTTGGTAAATGAGGTAAACCGAACCCCGAGTTGGGAGGCTTAGAGTTCTTAGAACCACGTTGCGGTAGTCAAGTAACAGAGACCACTATCATGGTTCGTGAAGGTAAAAGCTATTTGGGTTATACCATTTTTCATGAAGCCAATCTGACTTGTGCGCGAGAAGAAGGCTTGCACAACCCCTCATAGTTCATGGCCATTTTGGTAGAATCTGGGCGGGCTACTCTGTTGCAACCACAGTTTGCAGTGTTTGAACTAAAATATGACCTAGAGACATAAGCAAAAGACCACCTCATTTGGATTTGGGCAGCCCTGATTTGGGGTCAACCATCCATGATAAAGGTCCCTTACTTAGCGGTTCATGAATTCAGCTTGTCATTAAACGTGGTTTTTCCAACGAAGTTTCCCCTGAGGGGGTCCTGAAGGGTTCACGCTTTCTCGGGGGGAGTTCGACGCTCTGACAGCTCCTCTTCCAACGCGTCCGACTTGTCTTAACAAGCGTTCTTCCATCGCGCCACCACGATTGCCTCCTACCTTTGTCATTCATGAATTCAAGGCGGTTGACTCATAGGGTGCCATTGTCCTCTTTATTTGGGGTCCCCAATGTTCGATGCCCCAACGTTGTTCGATTTTTCCAGTTCCAAAGAGGTCGCATAGTGCCTGCAAACCGCTTGGACACCGACGCAAGCCCTTCCAGGCTTCCCAGGGCTCAGGCGAGACTGGAAATCGTGCTGGTGGATCGGCATCAAACCAGAACTACAGTATTAGAAAACACCAACACAACACGACATTATAAAACAAGAAAAACATTATACAGTATACACATCCATATGTATGTTAAATCACATGGACAGTTGTGCAAACATACATGTTGCATACATAGCGAACGCACGACAATGATATGATGCATGTTCCCTTCCATACATGAACGCCCTCTGAGATTACGCAGGGGAGTGAGAGATGAAGCAGTTTTGGGGAAATGGTCAAACCTGGGGTGAAGATTAGTAAGGCACAATGCCAAGTTTATGTGTTTTGTGGATGTCGGTACCAGACTCTTATGAGCCATGTGAGGGTTGTGGGTTTGTCCGGAGAAATAAACCGCTTGGAGCCGGGGTGTCGAGGTGACTACTTGGAAGCGGCCGGCAGCCCAGGGACATCCCCATCCTGAAGCCACGTAAACCATTCTTGCAGTCAGGCAAAGAACTTATGATGCTTCTTACCTTTTTTGGCAAGGGGACATGTGCTTGGTTCGCTGGTAGTATCCAACCTGGCTTGCCCAGGGTCAATGCGAAAAGCCGTGTACCCGGGCAGTTGCTCTGGTGACGCCTGTTTTCGCGTGGGGCTAAAACCCGCTTTCCCGCTTTAAAAAGTAGTGGAAACGCTCCTAGATTGTGAGATCCACTTCGCCTGTTTCTTTTGCGGAATTGAATTCCATCCGTTTCTCCTGTCGCTTGGTTTACCTGCTCAAGAGGCGCGGATTGATTCGGCCACCGTTTCTGCGAACCGGAGTCGAGAATGCGGCCAGCCAAGAGGGGATCTAAGCGCATCTATGAACTGAGCAGAGGCGAGGTGAGGACAAGGATGCAGATGGTTCGGGGCTTTGCCAGATCGACGCTCCTTCTGACTGAAAGGCATAGTGCCAGGGTCAGGCTTGAAGATCCGGATGTGCTGTAGACACCCTAGACACCCCCCCAATAGAATCTGGGTTGCTGCGGGCTAGTAGAGTTTAGGTCGAGCAATGCAAAAATGTAAGGGAACCATGCCCGCGATTGGTGGGAGTTTTGGCCGTGGCACAAGTGTTTTGCCTGCTTCAAAGGACCCCGGCCGCTCCTTTGCGTGGGCGTCTGAATGTCTTCCTGGTCTTCTGGGGAACTTAACGCGTCCGGAAAATCAGACACCCCGCCCGTGAGAATGTCTTCGATGAATTTCCGTTCGCACCTTGGGTGGGCCCGCTGGTATCCTCGCTGTAGCCTGTGCCTTTAGATGACCAGCCCACAAGAGGGCTTGGTTTCCTTTGGCGTCGCGCACTTCCATCTCTCCATCTCCGGGGATGGAGCAACGCGGCGTTTGGTGTGCTTTGCCAGTTCGGGACTCGCGACCATGCAGAAGTCGGACGTTTCCCGCCCATGTTTGTCCCCTGTGCTCTTGAGTTTCATTAGCCGAAAAGAACCTCACCTCTTCCAACTAGAGAAACGTTGACACCATTGGAACCCGAAGACTTGAGAAAGCCAAGCGGAGGGGACATGGCATGTTTTGTTTGTTTTGACTTTCCTTTGTTCCCGTAATGAGGCAGGAATGCCCCCTGTGAACCATCTAACTGGTTCATTCCCAACGCCCGAACAAGTTGCTTCCCCTCATGCAGCACCCCTTTGAGCACCCCTTTTTCTTGTCTCATCCACAGGGTTAGAGGGAGTGTCTCCTGCTTGAGGTTTATGTTGCGCAAACCAGGAAGGGGATCGTTGGAGATCAATTTTGGAGATATTGTTTTTCCGTGTTTTTTCTTTTTCTGCCTGGGGTTTATCAACTCAATTCACAAAACCAGGGACCCGCAAGGGAGCCGCGGCTTGGACCATAGGCCACGACCTACAAGATGCTCTTCTCGGTGGGCAGCCGCTGGGGGCTGACCACCAGCAAGGAGGCGGTTGGCGGGAAGACCCTTGGGGTAACTCGCCTGACGACCAGCTTGTGGCAACTTGTGCCGTTCAACTGGCCTCATTATTTTACCATGACCAAAGTCACCTCCTATGTGGTGGGTTAAAGGGAAACAACCCCCCATTTTCTGACTTTGATCACCCCCAGAAACCGTCAAAATAATGACACCAGTTCAAAGGCCCCCAATCACGAGAAACTAGGGTGAGTGACAAATGGATCCGGCACCAACAGAGCATGTTTTCCAGGTGTCAAGGAACTTTCCTGCTAGCTTCTGTCGAAACTGCTTTTGGAAGTCAAGGGAGACATTGAGGGACCCCCCCTTTTTCCTCCACCCGCCCAACATCCAGGCGAGCAGGGGGTGCATTTCCCCTCGTCTTGCAGTGAGTATATTGAGGGACTTTAGGAACCTTGTGCGTTTGCCCAAGCAGCCTCGTCTTTTTTGCGGTTCCGTGCGGGTCGCTGACGGACCAGTTTTTTCAGCACTGGTGGCCGGATGCCGGATGCCGGATGCCGGATGCCGCGGGATCGCAGGTTCTGCTCACAAAGCTCAACTTCCCCGCGCCCATGGCCGGGACCCTGAGCGGGTCAGGGATGAAAGCGGGCAGAGACTACCTCACATCACACCAGATTTCATACATGCATGCAACCATAAATGATACCTCCTGCAAGAGAATCGGCTTTGGCACAAGTTGAACGGTCCAAGAAGCTTGGATTCTTTTGGTTTGAGCCGCTAAACGCTCAGCCATGTGGGTGCTCTTTCGTTCTCCGAAAGATGATCAACATCCGTTTCGGGAACGTTGAAGCCTTCAAGGACGGGTGAACACCGTCAACCTGTGTCCATTGGTTTTCATTGTCCGGCCAACTTTCTACCCAACGCATTTTGGGGTTCAACACCGAATGGCCCATAGGTTCAATTCTCGGTGCTGGGACTTACATGGACGTGCCACGAAGTTTCAACCTCTGGGCGAACAATCAGACCGCTCCATGTCAAGTCGGGTAGATTCTGACCAAGCGGAAGCATGGGAAAAAGCATCGTCCCCCAACTGAACGCCTGAAAATCCGGTTCTGGCTTTCTTGCCTTTGTGCTTTCCTGCCTTCTGTCTTGCTTTGTTTTTTTCGGTGCCAAGTGAAAACGTCTTGGTCTCAGGTGTCCATCAACGGCCCTGCGGAGATCAGCCGGCGCCGCCCGGATCGCATCACCCTGGAGGCGCGAGCGGTGATCAGTTTTTTCCTTCGGCCAGTTCTGACCACCAGCCACTTTTGTCCCCTCGAAGATATCTTCCTAGTTGTTTTTCTTTTTTTTCTCCCCATGTTTGTCCATTTTTTTCAGTAGTGTGTTGCCCATGGTCATCCCATGAGGACCTTTGGATATCAAGCCCCAAATATCTCCCCAAGTCTCCCCCGTTTTTGGGTCTCGATCAAGAGCTGGCAGGCGAACAATTAGGGGTCAAACCGTGCGGTTCCACCAAAAAATGACTTTCCAGATTCGTGAAAAGAGGGCAACCAAAAGGCACGGCCATTGTGAGGGTTTCAGCCTTATTTGAAGACCTCTTGGAGGTATGACTTGTGATTCGGGCGGGTGATCTCGGTAATTTTTGTCAGTGCGCGTTAGGTTTGCTTTTTGAACTGAGTTGCGATTTGAACATTGACTCCCTCACTTCCCAATTGTTTGGACTGTGTTTGTTCAGGAATTTCATCTTAGTGCTGAACATGTTTTTTGTTGGCCAAGCCACTCAGGAAGTAAGTATTATTTTGAGTGGTAAAGAAAGTATTGACATCTAATTCGCCATGCAGCGCAACACCAGGATGTGCTAGAGGATGTTCTTTGCGGAAACGAACCCCGCAAGCAAAGCAAGGGGCTCGGCTTCCGGGAAGTCCCACCCTTGTTTCAACGGGTCGCCTTTTGGTCCTGAAAAACCATGATTTGTTCACGCATGTATGATGCTGTATGATTGCCTACGCGTCAAAATATTTTGGCATCCCAAAAGAAACTATAATTTCCTTGCGGTTGATGACACAAGGTATGCGAAGAAAGACAATGCAGCTTAGCAAGCCGCACGGGGGCTAAAAGCCTTGCTCCCAGTTAGGAAGGAAAAGGGTCGCGTTGGCCATCAGTGCATTGCCAAAAATTCTCAAAAGATTGGGATTTTACGTTGAGCCCGCCCAACAAAATTGGGCAGCTTTTTTGCTAGGACGATCTCAGAATCTACCAACCAATTCTCCCATAGGTTTAGCCCCCCAAGTGCCCGCGCATTGGCACTTGCACAAGGGGAAGCTATAGGCGACGTCAGAAGCCTGTATCACTTGCATTCACTTGCAATACGAGCTGGACGGAACGTCGATTGGTACGGCAAAAAAAAACCCGAAACCAAGCAGACTCCGCGCCCGGAAAATGAACACCCCAGCTCGGGTTAATGTTTACCTACGATTCGTAATTGGTCCCCAAATAAAGGTTTGTTGGGGGCGGACTGATCAATCAATGGATCCTAAAAAAGTTTTTGGATTTGGCTCCCAAATACTTTGCCGGGTCCTTTTGGTGCGGGAATTCCTCACCCGCCGAGTTCGCCCCGATGTCGCCCCGATTTCGTTTTCGGTTGGTCTCTCGAGGCGGTGGGCATTCCCTCGGAGTGCGCCAACGCCTCCCAGAACTTGGGCTACCGCTGGGCCTGGGGCCAAGGTTTGAAACCCGAAGCGTCGCTTCGGGTTTTCCAGGGAAGGTGGACCCCGGAGTCATAAACCCACCGGTTTATTGATATAAAAGTGTGCCTCTCCAAAAGTGACATCCCCACTAAAGCCAGGGACACCCCCATATTAACACAGGGGGTTACTAATCCGTCAAGATTATCTTAGCAGGGCCTCAAAAGACAAAACGTGGCCGAATCTGTTCATTTGCAATTGAAGGGGACATATGGTCGTGTCCTTCTTTGGTATCCTCTTTGGCCAGTTTCAAGTGGAGAGCTAAAGGAAAGCTCCCTTTTTTGGGGTGCCCCTTATTTTGAGACAACCCATATGAGAAATGACACCACCCATTTCCCATGTGAGGTTCGTCATCAGTCTTGTTGTCTCATGATGAAATTGGGGCGAACAAGGGGTATTTACTAAACTTTTGCCCCGCAAACCGGGGCACTCATGCAAACTTCGACCGTGGCATTGGAGCAACAACGAAGATATATTTTCGCAGCGCGGTTGATGTCTCTTTGAGGAGTTGAGGATGATTTCTCAAGCAGATCCTGAATTGTCCAGGAAGGCCAAAAGGAGTTTGTGTATGTATTTTTACTTGTTGTTGTACTTGTTTGATTTATAGGCATTGATTAACTAGGTTCCCCAGTATTGCCCTTTCTCACCCCTTTTTTGGTTGGGAGGGTCTCTTACTAAAATAGAGTAGAGAAAAGAGTTGGTACCAACTTTTTCTAACCTCTCTACTGAAGGACCTAGTTAGTTTGTTTGCTTATTTGCTTATGTTTTTCATGCACACGACTGATCATGCAGGCCAGGCAGGGCCAGAGCAGGGCAGGCATCCGTCCGTCCGTCCGCCTGTCAGTCCATGTATCCATGCATGGCAATGTACTTGTAATTTAGATGTTGGTTGGATTATACATAACGGCCATTTGTTTTCTATTTATTTACTTCATATATATATATATATATATTTGTTCATTCATTCATTTATTCATTCGTTCGTTCGTTCGTTCGTTCGTTCGTTCCTTCGTTCGTTCGTTCGTTCATTCATTTATTCATTCATTTATTCACTCATTCATTCATTCATTCATTCATTCGTTCGTTCGTTCGTTC